GTGGTAAAGTAGATCACCACCTAAAGATGCTTATAAAAGATACTTTGAGATGAAAAGTCATTTAAATGTTTGGTGTTTATTAGGAGAGAAGAAACTACTGTTCATTATCAAGTGTCTACAGTCATGGAAAAAATATTAGAATGTCTTAATTACTTGTTTATTTTTTTCATAATTGCAAATGTGCAAGGAAACTTAATAGAAATATATAAACATGGTTTATTTATTAGCTTATTTAGCACAGGTTATGTTATTATATAATTATAACCTCTGGTTTGAGAAAATATCTCATTAAGCATTGATCAAAATGAAATATTCAAGCTGTAAATGAGTATATTATGAACTCTTTACATCCAGATCAGGTTGACTGTGTGAACCCAGTCATGTGACTCTACTGCTGTCATAGTGGTGCTGACAGAAGTGCCCTAGAGAAAACAAGAACAGTCAACTTAAAACGGGACAAAGAACGTGTCTTCCTGATTTATTACCAAACAGGTTGCTGCTGACTTCTTTAGCTCGTCTTGAGTAAATATTTTTGTAAAGGTGAAACATGAGCTTCAAAAGAAGCTCAGGAAAAAATGCAAAGTTAATTTAGTTTGAACTTAGTAAAGCCAGAGAAGAAAAGGCCATCCTGTTGGCTGAATCAGCTCTAATTGCTTATCACACTTCCATCTTATTTTCCCATGGCAGACTGCAGACAAACCAGATGCGAGCACATAGTTTCAGTCCAGGAGCTGCATACCCCCCACACCAGTTCAAACGTTTCAGCTTTTTAGATGACACACAAACTGAAGTTGCGTTAGATGCTGAGAAAAAAAGGGGAAATGAGTCTGTGAGTGAATCCAGCGATCAGACATGCAGCTGCCAGCAGACATTCAAGTGCAGCAAATCTGACTGAGTAACAACATTCCTGCTCCACATACAATTTCTAAAAGAATTGATCTTTCTTAAACTGACAGGACATCTTGATATTAGAGATTAATGCCAAAATTATTGAAGTTAAAGTCCTAAAGAATAGGAGGAACATAAACTGTATGGTTTTACCTGCTATATAAAGTTTCAGAAACATTTGAAAATTGGCATAAATACTTGAAATAACTGATTGTTTAAGATTTATGTGCCTGCTCAGAGAGCAGATTTGTAGTCAAGTCAAAAGGGAAAAGGATGCATCCCCAATGCCAAGTATGTGTGCGAGTATGCGTGCCCTGCATGCTAAGCACACAGCTGATGGTTGCCATCACTGCATTCTCTTGTGTCCCACTGCAGGGCACAAAGCACAGATTGATGATTCAGGAGTGTCTATGCTCTCCTCTTATCCCATTTAGGAAACTATGGAGTCTGCTTTAGCGAAAGAAGAAATAAAAATAACTGTTAAAAGCTAAGCTTTTGGCTTAAAAATAACTCAGCTGATCAGAAAAGATAGAAACACAGACAGTCATGATGTGAAACTTTTTACAAAGATTGTCAAGCAACCCAACAGCTTGTCTGTAGAGCAGCTAACTGCAGGCTAGCTACCAGAGCAGATAACCTGGCAAACTAACCAACTAATACCAGATAGTGAGTAAATAAGTTTTTTTTTTCTTATAAAAACCAGGGTAAGCAAAAGAAAACAAATCTAATAGTGTGTTTTAATTAATTAGTTGTAATTCATATATTAACTGCTTTGATCATGTACTGCTTTTGCAGCAGTGCAAGTCTTGCTTCTATTTCCTAAATGAAATAGTTTTTAGTTTTTCCACCTTCCATACTAACTGTTCCTGGTGTAAAATCCCTACTTGGGCAACACTAACTGTAATCTAAAATCTATAATCCACAGAAACTTCAAATACAGCCGTTTACTGACACCTAGTAGGAAAGGGTAGGGTTCAGTAATTTCACTGTTTAGCCCTTATACTCAGAATGCACTATCAGTGGGTGTGCTGTCGCCACATTAGCTCTGACTGCTTGATTTTTTTTTACGGTATTTGCTGCATGTTGCCTTCAAAACAGCTTTTAGAATTCATGATAACATAAAGTAAACATACCCAAATCTAAGTGTATTACCCTACCCTGAATAAAACTTGTCTATGATCTTTTTTCCCCTTTTTCCCAGGGTTTTATTCTCATTACACTGTCACAAGCACAAAGCAACGAAACAAACTCTCTGCCTTTAACCCATCCCCTTTGGGAGCAGTGGGCTGCCACTGTGCAGCGCCCGGGGAGCAATGTGATGGTTAAGGGTCTTGCGCAGGGATCCAGAGTGGCTCTGTGTCAGTGGGTGTGGGGCTTTAACTCAGAACATGGGATTCCAAGAGCAATGGCCTAACCACTTAGCCTCAAAAGCTCCCCTAAAGCAGGCATTAGCGTGACAGGTCTTGCCTAAAGCCCAGCGTTTTTTGGGGCGATTTTCCATTCGTGCAGGAATCTTACGATCGGGCCAACTTTCAGCCCGATCGTGCGTTGTGAGTCGTGTAGTGTACAAGGGGTAACAAGGGGCGATCAGCCTTTCATGACCACTTCCCCATCAGGAATCGTGAGATTGGAAGAAAATCAAACATGTTTAATTTTCTCCCGACCGTCATGGACAAAACGCCCAGGGCACATGCGCAAACAAGGATTCTTCTTTTTATTCTTCCTCTCAGACGTAAACACAGCAGCATGGCAGGGATGCAATGAGTGAAATGCAGTTCTGTCTGTAAAATTGACAGACCGTAGTAGCCACATTTGCTCAGCCAAGTCTTTTTTTCCAAATACGTTGTCACCCTTTCTTTTTAGGACTTTCAGGGTTAGGGTTAGGGTTAGCACAATATTGCACAAATTGCCAAGGCAGCACATTTCACTATATTGAGCTTAATATCCCCCTTCTATTTGTTTGGCTTCAGGATAGAGGGCTACAGAGCAGCTCCATCTCACAGCAGAGCTGAGTCCGACGTGGTTTTTAGTCTTACAGTGTGAGCAGGTAGATTGCATCAGAGCATCGGGCCGAACATAAATCGTGAGCTTTGAGCTCACACTGTATGACTAAACTAGTCGTAGTGTCAGCAGCAGCTGCGCGCAACGATTGCAAAAAAAAAAAAAAACACTGCATGCCCGGCTTAAGGACCCTGTTGCCATTAGCAACATTGCAGGAAACTAACAGAAGTTTGGAGTAAAACATTTTAAACCAGCTGAATATTAGGATGTTTTCAAATACTTACAGCTGATTTCAGAGGTGTCAAGCAACAAAGTACAAATACTTCATTACTGTACTTAAGTACACTTTTTAGGTATCTATACTTTACTCCATTACTTATTTTTCTTCCTACTTCTGACTTCTACTCATTATATTTTAACACAAGTATCTGTACTTTCTATTCCTTACATTTTTTAAAAAAACGTTACTTGTTTCTCTTGGCTTCGGTTTAATGTTTATAAATATTTTTTTCTTGTCATGTGCCCCATCCAATACAGATCATTGGCGCCATCCACATCTAGTGAAAACTAGTGTCATTGGATGAGTCATATAACGCAAACACTCATTGGTTAGCTAAAAGAAATCATCAGAGACAAGCAGGTGTTCTTCAAACTGCAAACGTGAATTGTCTATGCCATGCTACAATGTCAGATTCAGAAAACGTTGTTGAAATGTCTGAAAGGTCGGACACAGGCGAGAGTGTATCGGGAGATGGAGACCAACAAGACCTTCCTCATCCTTGGCCCTATCTCAAATAATTTTTCTAAATAGTCGATAGCTTGAGCTTTCAATTCATATAGTGGCATCTGGCAGTTTTTTTTAAAGGTTATTTTGTACTTTTATACTGCACTTTAAGTAGTTTTTGGAGCACATACTTTTTCACTTTTACTTGAGTAAAGAGGTCAACTTGATACGTCAACTTTTATCAGTGTTTTTAAACTGCAGTATCTATACCTCTACTTAAGTAACAAATGTGTGTACTTTTGACACCAGTGCTGGTTTCAGGTTTTTTTTTTATGTTTTTATGATAATTTCAAAAATAAACTACAATCAAGCAAAACCTGTTTCTCAAATACAACATTTTACTGTTCAAACATATTTTCAACAGTAATGAATGTGAGGTTTTTTGCTGAACCAATAATGAATAAGTTAGATTCATTAAAAGTATTTAATGGCATTCATTTAAAAACAAACACTGCTAAGCAATGTTTTGACACATTTCCTTTTGCAACAGCTTCAATCTAAATTGTGTGAAAAGTAACAATTTTTAGATTTTAAAAAGTATAGTGACCAACATCCTTGTTTCCAGCAACTACAGTGTTTGGCAATAAAGGGTAGCCAATATAAGCAAAAGCAAGAATGTAAAGATGTCAAACAGATCGTAAATGGTTAAATGAAATAGTAAATATTCTAAGAAAGCCATAAAGGATCCATCTCTTTGGTTCATTAGCTATAATGCAGCTAGCAATGTCATCAAACCAGGCAGCCTTTCACCTATTTTACAACCTGCTCTGACCTAGCTATGTAAATTCCTAGTGAGAAATGAGATGACCTTTGACAGTAGAGTGTAATACCAACAAAAGCATCGGTTTTATACAATGTAAAACAGAGATTTTGAAAACACACATATATATATATATTTCTCATTTTTCTTGTATTCTTTTTAAACTAAACATCTGGGTCTCTCACTGAAACTTCTTTACGGAAGAAAGTGACGCGTCCAGCAGGGAGCACGTAAGTGGCAGGCAAATCATCCAATAGCATTCTTGGACCTGACCGTAAACATTCCAAGAAATCCACACGCAGCCAATCACCGGAAGGGGGGGGCGGAAACCTTTTCCTCTCAAGTTAGATAGGTTCACAGAGGCCCAAACCCCCCCGGGGGTAAAAACTGAATTATTACCGAAGAACACTGACGTTAGTTGGGCAGTTGAGGAGCGGATAGGATATGTGTACCGGACACAGCCTACAAACCGCACAGCTATAACTGTAACGGGAATAATAATACACAGACTCCAAATAATTAGGTGTAGCACCGGTGTAAACAGCATGTGAAATAAACAAGACCTACCCAGAAATTTTCTAGGAAGTAAGGCGTTAACATTTTGTTCCTTTCCACTTCGCCGCAACTCTTCCAGCAGCTGTAATGCGACTTTAAACGCGTAAATCATCCACCGTTCTCTCCCCCAGTTTCTGTTGTGCCTTTCACCGTTTTCCTCCTCTCCCCTTTCTTCTCCCTCCCCACCTCCAGACTCCACCTCCGCCAGACTGAGCTCTGTTGCTGCTTTTCCCAGCGGTTCCTTCCCCGGACTCGGAAAGAAACAGCGCTACCACCGGCGGTTGGAGAGAGACACGTGCTGCCTTCAGGGGCTCTCCGTAAATTCCTCAATCAAACAAAGGAAAAAAATTTTTATTAATTTATATAACAAACCAATAGTGTACAAAGATTCGTTGTATGGCAAGTCTTTTTAACATAAATTCGGTTTCGTCTGACCATCCGTAATTACGTTCCAGATATCTTAAAATACATTTTGACTATCCGGAATGGTAATTTAAGATGACTGTTTTTACATTCTGATTAGGAAGAATAATAATTCAATATATCTTAAATTACATTTAGACTAGTCAAAATTCCTTTCAAGATATCTCAAATTATGACACCGGAACTGTTATTTAAAGAGTCACACGCTGATTTAACTTCTCCTGTGGATTAAACTGACGGTAAGGAATTTTTTAGGAATGATTCTCCTGGAAGCCCATTAAAAAGATCATTACACATTTTGGCTAGTCAGAATTTCAATTTAAGATATCTTTAATGGAAAAGCTAAATAATGAGATATCTTTAATTCATTTAGAGATATCCTAAAAGGAATCTTGAATAGTCCAAATTACAATTCAAGAAATCTTTATATTTGTTTTGTCTAGTCATTATTTGCTTTTAAGATGTCAACAATTTAGTTATCACTAGTCAAAACTGCATATCTCCTATCCTAAAATACATTTAAGATATCATGAATTATGGTGGCATGTGAGATATCTTTAACTAGAATTATGACTAGTCAAGACTAAAATCGAGATATCTTGAAATTATTTTATGACTAGTCGTAATTTAATCATAGATATCTGAAATGTGTATTTCAGATAGTCAGTAATTCATTCTATATGTCTTAAACTGACGTCTCCATACAAGTTAATGGTAAATCTGACATCATTTCGACTAGTCAAAATATAATTAGAGATATCTTAAATCGCTAAAACGCCTAGTCATAAAACTATTTAAGATATCTTGAATGTAAAGGCGGTACGACCAAATTTATGTTAAAACGGCTTGCCATACTCGTTGAGGTACAAACATTACAATATGGGTAGGGGGGAAAAAAATAAACAGAACTTGGGGCTAAAAACAAGAACAGATACATAAACAATAAGGCCAATATAGAGCAAGATTTAAAACAAAAAAAAAGTAGAAATACTGGCAGATACTTTTTTGGCAGAAACGGATTTCAAATGTTTCAATGAGGTGTAAAACAATTTAAATTAGTTAAGAAATAAATCAAAACAAGGAGTAGAACCTCTCCATTTACAACAATGTATATGATAAGCAAGAAAATAATATCAACCATATCTGAAATTTTACTATCAAGGTCATCAACATAATACAACATGTTTGGATGTCCTCAATTTTAAGGGACAACCAATTTTTTATGTCTCTCCGTAGTTTGAAAGAAAAGGGACAGGAAAAAAAAGATGATTAAGGGATTCATCCAGAAAAATCCAAAAAGGCACAGCTTGTTCAATTCAAATCTCTTGTGCAAAATTTTATTCACTGGGTAAATATTTTTCACAAGCGATTTGAAAGTTAGTCTCTTTAACCTTTTTTGAAACTGGCCATTTAACATACCTAGAGAATGCCTTCTTAAATAAGGGCAAATTATTTTTGTCAGAAAACTATTATAGTATTCATCAAATAATTTATATTTGAAGGCAGTCACAAAGCATAATCAAAGGAGTATAACAATAGCTCATAACACTTGGGTGAAGTTGCCCCCCCACCTTTTTCAAATGTCAAATGTTTGTGCTACGTTTCTGCTGGTTTGTGCAGCAAAAATTTTTGTTTGTGCCGCTATCATTTTAAAGATATAAAGAAGAAATGTTTGTAGAGGTCATCAAAGATCAACCAGCCCCCCACCTTTAAATCAGATGAAATGGGTGTCAATTAACTCCGTTTGTGCTGGTTTGTGCAGCATAAATTGCTGTTTGTGCTGCTTTGGCTTTGAAGACATTAATGAAAATGTAAAGGTCAAAAGGTCAACCAGCCCCCCCACCTTCTTCAAATTAGACAAAAATTGGTGTCAAAAGTTTGTGTTACGTTTGTGCTGGTTTGTGCAGCAAAAGTTTTCGTTTGTGCCGCTATCATTATAAAGATAAAGAGATGTTTCTTTGATGACCTCTACAAAATATTATTAATATCAATAAAATGATAGCAGCACAAATGAAATTTTTGCCATACAAAAATATAACATTTTAAAATTAATTTTAAATATAAAATATATAAAATAAATATATTTAAAACTTAAAAATGCATATTTTGAAATATATACATTTTTTGTACTGCTATCATTTTAATGATAATAATTGTTAGTAGAAGCCATCAAAGATCAGTTAACATTTGTTCATTCTGAAACTCTGAATTTCATATAAATTATAAGTTGCCAACCTATGGTTATATAATTTTAAACTGTACAAAAATGATAAAGGCACAAACAAAAATTTTCGCTGCACAAACGGAGCCGAGTTAACTGACACCCATTCTGCCTAATTTGAAGAAGGTGGGGGGGGGGCTTGTTGACCTTTGATGACCTCTAGAAATATTTCTATTTAAAATGATAGTGGCACAAACGAAAGTTTTTGCTGCACAAACCTGCACAAACATAGCACAAATGTTTGACACTAATTTTGTCTGATTTGAAGAGGGTGGGGGGGCCAACTTCACTCAGGTCATGTGTCAGTGAATTGGTGCAATATAAATAAACTGAATTGAAATATTTGCATCATATATATTAATGCTCTAGACTTCCATATCAATGCATTTTTGCACCATGTATTTGAATCACTGCTGCAGTTTATGAAATGAAAATGTTGATTTTGCCGCTAAAATGAAATTCTGTTTTGTATACACACAGTGTATACAAAACAGAGATGAGATGCCGGATGGTGCCAAAACAGAGATGAGATGCCGGATGGTGGACCAGAATCGCTTCGGAGCCGTACGGAAGTCTTTCTCCATGGCCTCTCCAAACTCCTCCCACACCCGAGTTTTTGCCTCAGCAACCACCCGAGCTGCATGCCGCTTCGCCCGCCGGTACCCATCAGCTGATTCCGCAGTCCCAAAGGCCAAAAAGGCCAAGTGCACATATGGACACCCTTATGCTTGAACACGGTGTTCGTTATGGACAATCCATGACGGGCACAGAAGTCCAACAACAGAACACCACTCGAGTTCAGATCGGGGCGGCCATTCCTCCCAACCACGTCCCTCCAGGTCTCACTGTCATTGAGTCATTGATTGTAAATCCTAATTGTTTAATTTCAAACACAATTAAATATTTCAGGGGCACTGTTATGAGGATGGGCAACCAGTAGATTTGTAACTTTCGGGGTCCCTAGAGGGTCCCAGGTAGTAAGTAACCAAAGATTGGGCTTTAAAAGAAGTTGACTGAAACACTTTGACAGGTCTCATGTTTCGTAAAATCTTTTATAATAGTTTTTGAAATGCTCTGTGCTTCCCCCTTTTCCAATTTTTTTGAAAATATATATTTAACATATTTGCTTCAAAATCACCTTCACCAGTACTTTCCTGTCCTTGCTTTGATTTTAAAAAACAAATAAACAGATTCTTTTAACAAGTTTTAATTAAGTTTTTGTGTGTGTGAGTTTATCCTGCTCTGACTCATCTAATGACCATCAAACTCTGCCTCAAGAGGAAAGATGTAAAATGCAAACATGTTCCTTTGATCCCACAATTATAAACTGCAAAATCTTTAGAGCAGAAATACACTAAATAATATATTAATAGGAGTTAAGCTTTATCAAAAATGGTTTGTAGTTTGTGGAGGGAAGTCATCGCTGAAAGAAAAATTTAAAAGAAGAAAAAGAAACCAGCAAACTAGAAGAATGTCATCTTTCATTTTTCTCTTTTCACAAACTAGTTTTAGGTCAGAAATGTGGCAACATAACAGGTCGGTAGCATTTAAAAAATGTCAAGGCGCTGCTTTCATATAAACACAAAAAAGTACTTTTCCATTGACAGATAATGCTCTAGTGATTATACTGCAAACATGTGTGGTTATGATAGGGGAGGGTCAGTTCTTAGCCTTGGGGAAGGGAGGGGGAGGATGTAAAATATCCTGATTACTTCCAGTCAAGACATTTTTAAAATGATTTAAAGAGTATTGTTTTCTTCAATTATGGTCACCCAACAGCTGTGTGGTTAAATCAGCTTTTGAACAAAATTTCGATTCTGTAATTATCTAAACTAGTTTAAAAAAAAAAAAAGGTTCCTAAGTATATAGTATAAGTATATAGTTATGCTTAAAGGTTTACATACCCTTCTATTAAAGACAGAAAAAAATCAGGAAGAATCTAGGAGGAAAATAAATTGAAATTTGACAGAATAAATCAGTTCTAAAAACGGAAATCGTATATCTGTGTACATATCAATTAATAATAGTAAACAAGCCTGATGAAGCTCCTGTCACTGAGCAGAAATGTGAGACATCCCTGCAATCAGGTGTTTTCTGTAATGCTCAGTCGGACTTCAGCACCTGTTGACATGTATGTTGGTTCACTGCTCATGAGCAAGGCACTTTAATTTGTCAGTTTTTCTTCATACAAAAATTCTAAATCAATTTCTTATTTTACCAAATCATTAAGTACATTTTTTATTTCTTACCTTTTCAGTTTAGTGTTATTTGAATTACAAGTGTGAATTTATCATTTTCTTTAATGGGGGTGTAATGTAAACAATCAAGAACAACTGTATATTTGACTACTGTAGGACTAAAATATAACTAGAGTCTAAAGACTAAAATAAAACTGTCATTCTTTTCATTCTCTTGGCTTCAAACCGTCCAGAGCAGAGTTGAACTGAGGTCGTCTTAAGGCCTTTCTTGGACCAGTGACAGCAGGTCTGCTTTAGATAAGCCCATGAATTTAACAAGACCAACCTCAAGCTGATGCTAGAAACTTGCAGCAGAAATACAACATTAGTGTAATTTAGGACTCTGTTCAAGGCTGCCAGTGTTTTAATTGTTAATGTTTTGCACAATCTGTGAAGAAACAAGACAAAGACTCCCCATAATGTAAACAATTTATTGGAACAATGTATAGATTCAAGCAATGGTAATCATTCACACCCACTTTATCATCTTACAAATATTACAAAATTACTACAGTACAATATAGAGTCTTTGCATGATCCAAAATATTTGGTGGCCCCAAAAGTATCACTTGTTTCTAAATTCAGCAGCTTGTAAAAAAAAAAAAGAAGAAACCAAGTCTATCAAAATTATGTTTTTGCTTCTCTTAGCAAAAAAGGTGAAAGGCAGATTAGCTATTGAAGTTAAAAGGCTGATTGGATTACAGAATACAGGAGCTCAGTCATCGCTAACTACTGGTAGGTGCTTTATAAAATGTAGTCGTTTAATAAAGCTCTATAGAAAGTCAACATTTTTTTGATTTTTCAACTTCGTATTTCTGGATTGGTTTCAACACAGTATACTGAATATATTGCAAATCAAGGAAATCTTGCTCTTATGGCATTTATGTAGAGAATACACTAAGGTCAATCACTTTTGCTTTAGGTAAAAGGTATACGAAATATGTGCAAGTTACCATTGCTGAAATTATCTTTATTACCCTTAGGTTTTTGACAGCTCACAGTGCTGCAAGTAACACATCTGTTAACATCCATGTTTATCCATTTCTTACATGAAAAACATCTTTTTTTTTTTACTACTTTTTAGGACTTTAGGGGGATGCATAAAAGGTGTACACATTAAGAAAATAAAAAAACAACATAAAAACACTGGAACACAAGCAACCTGAGGTTTACACTTAGAAAAGACATATTCAAGTGGTGAAACAACTACAATGTTTAGCAGCGGTCAAGTCAGAAGGACAGCACAGTAACGACGGGCATTCATTTGTGTTGGGGGTTTTTTTTTGTATAGACGTACATTCTTTTAGTGAAAGAATATGAGGACTGAACACACCCCGTCTAGCTGTGATCGCAGCGTTTCTGTGCACGCCAAACAGCTGGAATGTGCCAGACATAAAAAAAAAAAAACCCAAAACGCTTCCAACAAAAGAGTTATGGGGAAACACACGCACAAGTCTTTGCCTCTGTATTCCATGATGCAATTGTTACCTATAAGAAAGACGTCACAGTCCCTTTCAAAAGTGCTCAGTTTTTAACATTTTGTTCAACTATAAACACCAATTTAAACTCATTTCATTGGGACTCAGACATGGAAGCGGCTCCAGGGAAGCGTTTTATCCAGCTGCACAGACAGGCTAGGTGAGGAGAACATCTCAGGTGCTCTTTGGTCACATGAGATGAAAAGGAAACCTTTTGGTGGACTTTTAAAAATCTAACAATGGGTAATAAAACGAAAACAAGTTAGAGATATGCTCATGCTGAGGTGAAGCTGAGAAGTACGGCTGCAACTAACGATTATTTTGTAAAACGATTAATCTGTCGATTTTTTAAAATAAATTAATAATCGGTTAGCCAAAGGGCCCCTAAAGAAACCTTTGGTGAAATTAGACCAGGTGAAACTCAGACTTTTCCACTTGAGTTCTGGATAGAGCATATTGACAGATGAAAACTTTTCTTTATCTTAAATGCAAAATGTTTATATCTTTTTTTACAAATGTGATATTACTGCTCCAAGTGGGTTGCTCTGACAGCTAACCGTTTCTATCCTCAATTTAACGATTAATCGATAAGTAAATTTGTTGATTATTTCAATAATCGATTAATGGCGATTAATTGTTTCAGTAATATTATGAACCGATGGGTGGAGCTAAACTGTGGGCTGCAAAACTGACGTAGAGGTAGAGCTTAAAACGGCTTAGTTCAAACCATGTTCATGTATGAGGGGGAAAAAAGCTCAAAGTCCAGGGCTAAATCGAATAAAGGTGTTTTTTTTTTGCAAGAAGCACTGTTAGTTTTGGGTTAGTTTAAATAGCAGTATGAGGGGTAATATGCGAGTCTCTAGCTGTGCAAATGTGCTGAGACTTGCAGCAAAAAATAAAATAAATAAAATTTAAAAGAATTAGCAGCTGTGAAAATTGTTGAACCCAATTAAGACTATTGAATGATGAATCACTTTCTTGCAATTCACTAGTATTTATCATAATGTGTGGTTGTAATGTAATTTGTTGTCACAGCATAAAAACCTTCAAAAGGGGTATTAATACTTTTGAAAGGCACTGGAATTATCTCCATCACTATAAATCTACATTTTCAGTCCAATTGCATGAAGATGCTTATTGCATTAGGTAAAAACTTCATTTGAGCACCTATAATTAATCATCCGCCATCAATGTTGCAAAGATTCAAATACTGCAGAAAATTACTCTGGCCAGCAGAGGAAAAACAACTAACTGGGTTCGTTAATAAAATAAAATAAAAACTACCATCATGGAATACATTCAGGCTGTAACCTTCAACAGTTTTGACACTTAAAAAAAAATATAGATACAACACAGAAAAAGCAGACACATTAAACATTCTTCACAGTATTTTAAAACTACATCCATCAATGGGAGGAGGGGTTCAGGGAGAGCACGCCGTTACGCAAAGTTTATATGCGTCCCAGTGTCATCAACTTGAAGCTCTCCTCCCTCCCACTGAATGTTTTAGCATGAGGGGGCCACCAACATGCAAGACATGAAAGCATCCAAGTACCCCACAGTGACAACCACCCGACACAGTACAGTCATCCTCAGGATCATGCTTTTAGCACAGAACAACCAGGAACAGAACTTTCTAAATACACAGAAAAAAAACATGTTTGACACTGATATTATGGGGCAGTGGCAGCTCAATGGCGTTAATTAAATCCAAACATCACGTATTGCATTAACAAATGTTGAAACACGTAAAACACAATACAACAGGTGAAAATAGCTGTTGTGAAACGCTCTGAAATGATAAACTCCAGACTGAACAATCACTTTTTCCACTCGGCTCATGAGGAAAACCTCCTTGCTGTCAGTAATACATCCTTCAGCATGTTTGCCGATCAGCATCGAGCAGCCAGCTTCACGACCCGCCCCTGCTCCATTTACACTACCCTTTTTAAACCGTGCCAAGATAACAGTTTAGTGTAAATGGAACGCAACTGAACTGGACCATGCCAGATAACTGTACCACACTAAATCTAGTACTAAGTCACGGCATGGTTCACTTATGGCTCGGTTCTCTGATTAAGAAGAGCATGAGCAGATTGCTTCATCTCCTATCTACAGTCAGCATCCAGTGGTTGGTGGTAATGCACATAAGTTGCTTGACAACCACCATAAAACAGAAGAACTGTAAAACAACAACTGAAATCTTTTCAACACTACATTTTATAAAATGGCTTCAAAAGAGCGTGGTGCAACCTGGGATTACGCAGAGACAGCCTTCTTCGTCTGATCTCCGCAAACAACAAAATATCACAATTATAACCAAACATAACTTCCTGAATGTTACGGGCACCGCCATTTAGATTTGCTTGATTCCCTCCTTCAGTCCTAGAGAGCAGTAGTACCATAGATCATCACTTGGAGGCGAGGAACTGCGCTAGCGTGATGTGTAAACGGTCGTAAGGAACAGAGCTTTGCACGGTTAACTGATCCAGGCTCGGTCCGAACTGGGCACGGATCGTTTTTCAGAGGGTAGTGTAAATGGGGCATAAGAGGTTTAGCCTCACTGGAAGTGATATATTTTTGGCGTGTTATCCAATCAGGCCTCTACTTTCTCGCTGCTAAACTCAAACAGGGATTTATCATAGAGGCTAACAGGCAGCATCCTGCTGCTCCAGAGTGGAGGAGTGATCGAGTTCCAAGAGCGGCTCATCAGCTGTGCAACACGCTCATGAAATGAAGCGCATATGTAATGCAGTTTAATGACTACATTTCTGAAGTTTGACAATGCACATTTTACCAATAATTTAACAAAAATGTCCAGTGGAGGTTTAGCCTCCCTCGTCTTCAATGAGAAATCGTCACTGTTATGGGATATTTGGTTCTGATTGCAGAAAGTCACAAAGCATACGTGTTTTATATCACTGAGGTCAAAACACAGGTTGCCAACCTGCTTCCACTTCAATTTTCCTTTGGAAATTTCCACCATTAAAAAAAAAAAAAAAAACTGTTTTAGGCAGATAAAGATTTGATACGCTCGCTAAAAAACAAATATAAAATGAAATAAAAATGTCACATTCACACCACAAAAAACAAGAGACTCATTCCAATGTCACATCACAGCTGAACACGACCTAAACTCAGCGTAGACCCTGCCATGCTACGTTACAGACTGCTGTTGAAAACAAAATTAAAAGTATTTTAAATATAGATTACACAATCAAAGAACAACCTTATCAAATGGCAATGACGGCTGTCAACACACATCACTAATGTTCAACAGCTTTTCACAATATTATAAGCATGCTACCTAATCCCAGAAAAGCTGCTCTTGAATTGTGCTCCCTGGTGATTGAATGAGGAGGCATTCGCCCTGCTTCAATGTTGAAATAATAGGTTACTTCCTTTGGATGATATGCAGCGTTCTGAAAGTACTTTTTTCAGAAGTGGATTCGATAAAATGCTTTCTTAGCATCAGCTGATTTGAGATGAAGCATCTTGATAATCAACCTAAAATCTTAAGATTTATTTTTTTAGTCTAGGAAATCTATTTATCCTGAACTAAAATCTCACACAGACTCATCAGTTTCTCCTAATATTTACCTTCTGTGTTCCTGAATGATATCTGAAGAATTAAAGCAAAGAAAATAAAAGTGATATTGTCCATTATTTGTGATTGAGATGGTTAAATTAAAGATCCTCCCATGATAAGGTTGAACTGCCAGTTTCTGTCCCTCCCCAGCTTAGCGCTTAAGGGCACTGAGAACTTGCAGCTACCATCACCCCTCCCACCCCTTCCTCCAGGTCAGGGAGGGGTCTGCACCCTCCCTCCCCTGTAAAGGGTTAACATGTTCCCTGGGATGGTTCCCTATCTTGTCTCCCATGGTGAATGACCTGTGCAGAGAAAGAAGAGTAAAGGCAACATTACTCCATGTATCGACATCTAGAAATAAAATTAAAAGAACGAAGAAACTGACCCCGCGATGAGGTACAGTGCTGTGGAAAACCTTTACACCCCGTAAAAGGTAGTCAGTCGCTCCTTCAAAGGCAGCGGGAACTGATCTGAAAAGTGCCTCCAGTTCTCTTCGCCCACCTGGTTCTTGAACCCGTGAAGGATCTGAAATCAGACACCGGGACCACTTTAATGCCAAGCTGGAAAAAAAAATTGATATTCAAAGCAGACAAAAGACATTGTAGTCAAGTCAGCTAAGTAAAAAAAAAGCACAACATCTGATCAATCTGTCGTTTTAAGTGATCCACTTCACCGTCAACAAACCACCTATTTGATGCCTATGTCAGGCCAAGAAGATGCTTTTCCCTAGCAGGAACAGGGAAGCTGGTCACTTGTTTGGAGGAAATCCTCTAACATCCAGTCAGTTATGGTGAAAGGCTGCTAACACAGCCTGGTGGTTTCCTCCTGTGTAAAGAGAGTTTTCCTCTCCACTGTCGCTACATTCATGCTAGGTATAAGGGATTGCTGCATAGTTGACCAGATTATGGAAACAAATGTCCTCTGTTGAGTTTCTTTAGATATAAAACTTAAGAAATCTGTTAGAGTTATTTTAATCAAGTAATCCTGAGCGTAAACATGTTAATTTTCCATAAGACCGACTGGATTAAAAGGAGCTATATAGGATGCATCTTCCTTACTCATTATTGCAAAAATTAGTCACAATGGGAAAAAGTTTATGGAGTAAAAGGCTGGTTATACTCCCCCATCAGTGTGTCGCAGTGAGCTTGTCGCAGGTATGACGCAGATATTTTTGATTTATGCCAAATATTGAAGCGTTGTCTGCACTATGTCATTCCACACCACAACGCAAGTGGGACAATCACGAAGTAGCTGTGGATCTAGATACAGCCGAGGAGGTGAGGAAATGGAGGCAAGTTTGTGCGACAATGGAGGGATATGGGGGCGAAAAAGAGCAGGGATCCAGGTGGAAAAAGGGTCCCAGCGTTCTCGTGTACGTAGCTTTTCTAGCTGATCCATCTTCATGAGTCGTTTTCCACAATGGTAGTCATACAAACAAAACGAGCCGGAAAGTACCAAACAGGAAATGCGCATAGTGTAGAGTGGATGTAGATTTGACCAATCTACTCCCGTCTACTCCTTCAGTCATCTACAATTTTGGAGAGGAGCAGCAAAGTGTCTGTGATAACTAAGACGAAAATCAGCCTTTAGAATAGCACCTGTCATCACAGCTTTAGGCCACTAGGGACATTTTTTTATTGTTTATCGTTTAATTTGACCACATCTTCGGTTAGCTGTTCTATATTTTTACACATTTTACCTTGTAGAACATTTCTCTGAGATCTTCCTTTGGGTTTACCCAGGAGGCCACTGCGTCACAGAAGAATATAAAGTCCTGTTCCAAAGAAAAGAGGTGAGGCAACATTTCATCTTCCAGAGCCATAGATAAACAATTGGGACCGACACTCACCTGAACAACACCTCCTGGATTTACACTGATCATTGTACAAATTCCTCTGAATGCAGAGTCTTTCTCCTCATTGTCTCTTATATTTCGCAGAGACGTGCACCTGACAGTAGGGATGGCCAAGTTCAACATTGAATATATCAAGATCATTACACAGTGACACATTAACAACTTCCGCTTCTTTAATTTAATGCTAATTCAGGTATTTAGAAATATAGACAGCCTACTGAATCCCTAAATTAATCAATTTCTTAGCTTTAAAAACTTCTAACATGACCTGTGATCAGTACAACACCATAAGCATGCACACCAAACAAGTCAGTTTTTGCATGTAACACAACTACACTGACTAAAAATAAATAAATAAAACATTACTGTTGCCTATATGCAGTGTGTTCAGCAAAACCTCATGTGTAGCACCTTGAATTTAACTTTTGTTTGTTTTAGAGAGATTTACTAGAAAAGCTTGGGATAGTTCTGGGACAGGTCATGCAGCTGGGTGACTAGGAAACGAGAAAGGGATTTAGGAATGCTCTTTGGCATTAAAAGCATCCTTTCTCTGTTTTTGAACCAGCAGGCATGTGACAATTCTGATCCCATGCATCTTAGAAGTTGTTAGCGACAATTAACAATGGCACAAAAAAAACAACAACTAGAAATTAAACAACTTAATGTGTAATACATGAAGGTGCTACTGAGGCGATAAAAGAAAAATCACAAGTAGGACCTAAAAAAAGGACAGGGTTAGTCACATGGTTGGCAATGATTACAAACTGATAAGAAAAAAACTGAAAAAAGAAGTTTGTTTTAGAAGCGAGGAGGAGGAGGGAGAGGAGGAGAGGAGATCAGGGGAGGAACAGGCGACAGAGGAGAAGAACAGAGCAAAGAGAGAGAGATGAATTAAATAAAAGATTGAATAATACACACCAGGGTCTTATAAACTGCTGTAGCATGGGTGCCACCTCTTGAGGACAAACGTAACCAAGACGACCAATTGTTATTGCTAAGGTAACGCAATCACGGTTACACACCACCAAACGCCAACGAAGACATGAGCAATGAGGAGGGGGGAGGAGAAAAAATAAAGAAAAAACAAACAACTCAGAGACATAAAAATCAACAGAATCCGTGTATGATAATAAAACAGAAGACTTCACTAGCGTTGATTACAACTGCCCCCCCTCGGGCGTGGGCAGGAATGTAAAACATGGCCCTCTAAAAAAAGACATACAGATCGTTTAAGGGAGAACACATCGACAACTCTCACAAAGACATTCATAGAAACAAAGGCAAACATGGATGTCTGCTTTCAGAAACCCTAATGGATCAAACAATTATTTTATTTTTTTTTCAGATCTGGTAAGAAAATAGATTGAATGTCATTAGCTTAACTTTAAAATGCACAATTCCAGAAACGGGGGATTAAAAAGAAAGGTGTGGCTAATGTAGCTTTTCAGAGATTTCTCCCTTAAACTCACAAATGTTGATTTCAATCAGAAATATTTGGATTTTTTTGTTTTTCTTTTGGAAAAGAAAATGACTTATTACTCCAAGCCAACTACATGGAGGGAGACTAGTATCCAGCACAGCAGGTTCTTATGAGGCAGAGAGGAGGGAGGACCTAAGTTTAAGAGACACAAAACTATGCAACATTCTCATTAAACAAACAGGCATTTATGAACAGTCCAATGAAACATGCAGAAAGCAGATGGTACGCTCATTAGAGTAAAGTTCAGTGCAGGATCAGCTGATCGGAGGCAAACTAAGGAGGGCCGCAGCGCTCGCCAATAATTCACAGCCACGCAGCCAGTTACTCTGGCATGAAAGCGACTGCTTTATATTTAGTTCCAGTCAAACCGGCTTTCTTTATTTAACCTCAGTTTTACATGACTGAAAAAAAAAATATCTGACTTTGCATTTCTTAGAGCTTTGTAAACGTCCTTCCCTTGAACCATTTCACTTTTATTCACAATACATTTGTTAAATTTGGACGTCTTGCATAATAGATAAAAGCAGCACGTAGTGATAAAAATCTGAAAAGTGTGGAGTTGTTTTCTGAAAACACTTTGTTAAAACACAAAAAACCTTTCAGTAAAATTGAAGCCGCATCGCTCTATACACGTCTGCCGTTGCCAATACTTCTATGCTTCTTTGTCTTCCTCTATCAGTGGTGGTTCTAGATCAGATTTACTAGATTTACAGCACGCAACTGAAATAATTAGTTACAAAATAATTATCTACTCAAAGATTAAATAAATGTATTCTTTGCCATATTAGATCAACCTACATGAATATTACTTATTTTGACTATTTAAATGAAAATTACAAGTTTTAATCCAATTAGATTTAAAATGTATGTAAAACCGATAATTTCATCAGTAACAAGTTTGAGTATTTTTTTTTATTTGGTTCAAAATGATGACTGAATCATCACGTTATTATTAAATCTAATTTAAAACAGGATGGTAAAGAAAAAGCTGAAATGGGTCCAAGGAACCCATCAGTCACTATGTCTGCTCCAGCACACTAGATTCGTTTTTTTCTCCCTTTTTTGTATTATGACATCAGTACAGGGGCTAGGACCAGTTCAACAGGGGCACTGCCCCCTGTTGGCCACCATTTAGAACCACCCATGCTGAAGATAAGTCAGCTGCAATGACTACTTTGCATCGCCAACCATAAGTCTCCCCTAATGCAGCTTTACATGAGAGTAACGTGGAACCCGCACACAAAGAGATTAATTGTGGCCAGAATGAATGGAGCCTTTCTGTAAACATCTGATTTATAAAGGCACTTTGAATAGATCAATATGCTGGTGAAGATTCTCAGTCATCCAGGCCATTGTCATTCCAAAAAAGTTAAAACACAAACCACTGGACTTTGTTTTCCAAGTTTGAAGACATTTGTTTCCCCACAGAGACATAGGCCAGTATCGGGTATTGCAGACCATCAACGACCTCAACAACTCCCCATTACCAAGGGGCGACCTGTTTTTTCCGGTTCAATATGCACATTTTTTAAGCCATAACAAGGCTTTGTTGGGCTACTATATGAAGCTTGGAGCTCAGAGATAATCCAGGCATTTTGATATGAAAAAGCTTCCTGGATGGGAAGCAAAACGTGTTCAACAAAACTTGGGAAACATAACACATATTAGTGCTATAAAATTTTTCCTTTAAAAGTTATTTCTTCCATTATGACCTGTATTTTGCATTATTCATACTTCTATCAATTCTTTGATCAGGTTTGAAGTCCTTCTTTGAGCAGAATGCAGCAGAGCATGACACTGCCGCCACCACATTTCTCTCTATTCTGGTATAAATGCTCACTACTTCTCAGCAAACTCTACTAGGGCTAAATCAATTAATCAGATTAACTGTGATAGATCGATTATTGAAATAACCTTCAACTAATTTAGTAATTGATTAATCATTAACTGGAGTATAGAGACTCTAAAACATCTCTAACGGACAGAGTAACCCAATTAGAGCAGTAACTATAGCAAAATTGTAATAAAATATACAAACATTTTGCATTTTAAGATGTATAAAAAAAAACATTTATCCTGTCAATATCCTCTATCTCAAGTTTTAGTTTCACCTGGTATAATTTCATTTAAAAATATCTTCTTTACAGAATATTTTGCTATTATTAATCGACAAATCCAAATTGTTGCAGCCCTAAACTCTACGTCATTTTACTTTGATTTGTGGTTGTATAACGAAAAATTGTGGAAAGGTTCAAGGGATAGGAATACATTTGCAAGGCACCGTCTGCAAGAAAGAGGAAAACCATTTAGCCGGTGGCAATGTTTGGGATTTCTTATTTGAACTTCATGATTACTCTAAATACATCATGTATCCTGCATTAAACATTGGCCAGTCTTAACATTTAACACCTATTAGCAGAAATGCATTCACATTTAAAGAACAGTAAATAAAAGCAACACAAACTGACAGCAAACAAACAGGTACACCTCTAAAGAATGCCTAATTTGTCTTTTTTTGGCAGGTTATTACTGTTCCTAAAGGTTAAAAACATAAGCAGAGATTATCTAGAGGTCTGAAACACATATCTAAGCTCAGTGCTCTATGTGTGCTGTTCAGGACTTCTCTCAATCATTCAGGATTAGCCGTTAACTAATAAGAGAAGTACGCCTTTAGTAACTATGTGAGGATATCTAAGCTTTTCATCCTGTTGCGTCCTACTGAACCCATCAGTCCGTCCAGGTTAGTGGACTCCCAAAGACTGAGCCCTTACATGGTTTTGTTCATTTCAAGAGCGTCAGGAATTCATCGGCAGGTTTTATTTTCTTTTATCTCATTTTAGAGGCCTCTGCACCAGGCTGTGAATCAATAAGTAAAATATCTGAGCAGATTAGGGTGAAACCAGCAAAACCCATAAGGCTCATTCTTTGAGAAACGTTGTTTGGACGGAGATTAGAAGGCTTAGACGGCCATCCCTGTGAGTGCGGTCAGTACTGACTGAATCAGACTTAAGAGACTATGTGAGGACTTCCCTGTGTGGCTGGCTCAGCACTACCACCGTGTGGTACCTGTGTTTTCCAGCAGAGTCTTTGGAGTATTGGGTCTGTTAATGATCTCCACCAGCTGGTGCAGCACCATGGCAATGTATGGCTGCATTTCAGGCCCTGTATGTTTGATTCCAAGTAGGAAATAATGTTATTTTTTAAAAACCTATAACTAGGTTGGAAAAAAAGGAGGATCTGGAAGCATTTCACTCACCCATTTGTATGGATATCTCTCCAATTGCCCAGGTTGCATTGTTGCACACAGATATTAACTCTGGGTTCAGATTTGTACCCAGTATGGGCATAAAATCAGCTAAAAATAAAAAGAAGAAAATGATCAGTTTTGGGATTGACTAAGTGACTTATTACCAAACTTGACTTCAAAGACCATAAGACATACCGATGCAGGGTTTTACATGTTGAAAACAGGCCTTAGTGAGATCCCCAAGCAGAGCAAAAGAGCTCTGACGCACCTCAGGCATTTTGTCCTGAAGTTGTGAAAAACATACAATTAACAAAACATGTCAGTCTACCTGTTTATAAAGCAATGTGCTTTGGGCAGCTCTTTACCTGCATGCACTGATACATGAGAGTCAGGATGTTGCTGCGAGCAACCAACTGCTCAATGGTGCCACCCAATCCCTCAGCCAGTCCACTCAGAAGATCCAGAGCCACGATCATGAAGTCTTTGTCTGGCGCCTCATACTGATCAGGTTGTGACTGATAAAGCTGAACAGTGAGAAAGAAATGAAGGATAATCACTACTAGAGATGTGACCGGTTACCCAACTATTTTTTATAAAATCAGGAAAGAAGTGTGGAAACTATTTTGATTGAAGTTTATTTCTGAGTGGCATTAATAATTCACAGGGAAATTCACACCGCCTGGGTTTTCCCTTAAAAAAAAATAAATTCAAAGCCGAAATTCAGCAGCTTTTTATATTAGTCATATAAATGCTAAAGTTAGCCTAATAAGCGTAGTAAAATTTCCCACTTCTAAGTCAATCTACAGATATCGCTTCTGCTAAATGATAAAAGTATTGAATTGTATTGCCCTTTTGTAGCCTAAATAATTTTAAGTCTTGTGTCAATATGTAAAAAAAAAATCCCCTTAAATAGTTTCGAACATCTCGAAGTTCTTAAAGTGAAACTCACCCCATGTGAAAATATAACCACCCCCGCACATTTATTTAGAAAAATGTCACCAAGGCAGACTAAGAGTCGGGCTGTGGTCAGTATTGGAGAATGTGGCGGCTAGCTTAGCCTAGCCTTAGCCTGAGGCATGGAGAGTTTTAGGTGCAGTAGAAACAGATGAGGGCATCAAGTTAGCAATACCTAGAGCTGGTGGGGCTAACGAGGAACAGGTCTGTGTCTGAGTGAGTCGTATTTATACCAGAACGCAGAGCTATGATGACGAGGGCTCGTGCAGTTAGGGCTGCCATAATTAAAAAGATAAGATGATGGAAACCCCATGGCCATAGTCATGTTATTGCAATGTATCCCTTTATTGTAAAACATTGCTGCATATTAAACATTATCTCCAACACTTATCTAAAGAGCAATGAACTACTTTATGTAGGATTTACATATGGTAGTAGCACAAGCACCTAAAGGTGGTCTTTTGGTTTGTATCAGACAACATTAAAAATACACTAAATAATAATTTTAGTTTGATGCATAAGATGTATGAAACAAGCAGAAGCTCATCTGCATACTCCATTACAGCAATCATTTGATCACTGATTGATCACAGATTTTTTTCTGTCCTTACGGGCGCTCCCCTGACTGTGCAGAAATTAGGGAGAAAAAAAAAAAAAACACCATATTTTAGGATATATTTGTTTGCTTGTATTATTTTTCTTCTTAGACTGTAAGCATGATTTTATCATTAAATAGCCATTTATATAAATGATAATGAACTTAACACAGACCATCAGTAGAACCACTGTATAATATTCCGTACCATACTGGCCTCAGGAGATGGTTGGTGTATAAGGACTGGTGTTTGGTTTGCTGCTTTCTCAGTCTGTAGTGTTCCTTTACTAAGCACCACTGTAAACACTTGCTGCCAGCCTGACATATTTTATGATTTTCCTCGTACTCATCCCTGCTGACACTGTCCAGCCAGGGATTTTCTTCTTCCCACTCATGTCAGTATTTTACAAGCATTTCCTTCTGAGGAAGTGGTTAAGTATTGAGCATAATGAGGTGGACAGACAGCAGGGTAGATGTGTGGGAGGGCTCTTTCTTGGCAGCGCATGGAGCTCAAGAAGTCCTGCCTAGAACCGCCACATCCATTCAGCTGATCTTCGTATTGTTTGTAAGAGTTGCTGTTTGTAACAGAGTGTTATGGACTTTTTTTAAAAATATGAAACAAAATTATTTTCATTGTTTGTTTAATAAGGCCCAGCTTATACAGTCTAAAACACAAGAACAAGGTTATTTTGGTGTTAATATACACTTTAGGTTTTATAAAAAATAACCAGTTTTTGATCACCAGATGTAATCTTGGTGCATCTCTAAAACCCATGAATAATTATCAAAGTAAGATTAGAATCAGTGATTTTTCAATATTTTAACCCGTAAATAAATTTGACTTTCACTCACTAAACAAAGCGGAGAGCGTATGAAGTCATCCGCATGCGCCGTCTACCATTCCTTCATCCTGTCCGCTGAGCTGCTGCTAGTTTTACTCACATGCCTGGAAGATGTCTAGTGCTGCTACCACAGATGATCTCGCTCTTGAAATGGAATTGAATGATTCAGATTAGCTAGCCGAATGAATAGAAGGGGGTAGAGCGTAGCCGCCTGTGGCCCTGGCTGCCTGTCACAACTCCAGTCCACATGTGCGGATGACGCCATACACGCGCCGCTTTGTTTTTAAAACGTATAAATATAAAAAATATAACCACAGATCTCTGGGGGACAGTGATTCACCTACATGTATTGAATGCTGACGTACTATAAAGAATAAATTATGAACAGTTTAGTTTTTGCCTTCAACTCGTTGCCCATGGGAAGACGTTACTTGGATATAACCTAACGGAATATCTTCAGAACAGCTCCAAATGACACAAAACTTATATGGGTGAGTAGAACATGATCTAATAACATAAAATCAAGGGCCCAATGTAAAAATACCGTAGTTTCTCTTTAATAGACTGGTTAGATTGGCTTTTCTGAGCTCGACAGACTCACCATAGCCTGGGCGAGTGTCTTCTGGACCAGATTGACGCATCGCTGGTAAACCGGCTCACAATAGGGAAGAAAGCCACTTTGAAGGGCTGTGGCTACAGATGATAAACACTGAGGAAGGCAGAAGGGGAAACCTTAAATTGAACCAAATAAAAGTTGTGTGGATACTTTCTGTACCTGGAGGGAAAACTTACTTCTAATAAAGGAAAAAGATCTTTGTCCTCATCTTTGAGCTGGTTCCATTTCTGTATCAGGGGCGGCATCAGCATCTGGATGTATTCCTATTACATTCAACACAAAGTTAAAAACTGTTATGTTAGAAATATCCTCAACAATCTCACCCAATAGAAGTGTTTTTTTTTTCCTTTTACCTTCAGGAAAGCCTTTCTAGATTCATAAGATCTGAGAATGGACTTACCACCACTAGCACAACAAAAGGTAAAAGGAGGAAGCAGACGATAGCATGTGGTATGTCAAATTCACACAAACTAGGAAGCCAAACCGCACATTCTGTTGCTGCATACCGGCTTGTTAAGATGATGTCCCACTGAATCTGCGAGCGTCCCTATGGCATCGTACAGAATGAGCAGGTTTTTGTGCTGGTACTTATTGAAAGCAAACACCAGCGTGTCCAGGATGAATGCCAGGTAAGGTACCAGCTCTGTGCAAGCCTCTTCCTCCAGGGTGGCAAAGGCACTATTGGGAGTAATCACAATTAGTGGTTATGGTCGGTTATATGGTGGAGCATGGTATCCACTCACATTATAACTTTTTATAAGCACAAAAAAAAAAATCAAGAAGTTTGAATTGGATTTTATGGATTATATGAACACAGTAGTTTAATGAAAGAGGATACATTATATTCAAATTTGGTTTAAAACAAGAAAACAAGTAACATTTGAAAGAGTTTCCTGGTATTTTGAATTTAGCCTCTTTGTTCTAAACTTCTAAAGCAAATTTAGCGGTATAACCTAATGAGGACACCAAACCACACTGGTAGAGTAGATAAAGCCAAACTGTATATGATTTAGTCTCAATCCAAATACTAGTACAATCATTATTTGAAGATGTATGTGTTTTGTTAGAGAACAGTGAGCATAGCCAGTTCTACACAAAACTTACCAGGGGTCTGTTTATTACTGATCTTGTTGAATGAGCTGAGACATGGATCAGCAAAAGCTCAGAAAGATAGGGGGGAGCTAAGCCATTCAAACATTTATAAACCAGGAACAAAACCTTAATCCAAGAGAACATTATTCATAAAGAAACCAATAAACCTCAGGTAGAGACTGAGGCAAAGCTGAGGGAGAATCTGTCAACAAGACAACATTTGGACTTTCATTCTACAAACTAACACTGCATGTCACATCCTTCCCACAGTAAAACAAGGTGGTGGTGGTATCATGCTGTGAGGGGCACTGCAATTCACGGACAATCTTGTGTTATATTGCAAAGAAAAACATTTTTGTTATATTTTTTTAAATCTAAATGTGGAAAATGAGGCATACCTTAATGCTTAGAAGAAATCAATTCATGGATGTACTAAATTTTTTTCAACTGATTAAAATTTGGGAAGTACTTTTCAGAGCAAAGGAGGAGCAATTCAAAGTTAGCACACAGCTTGAGGCATTGGAGCTTGAAACCACCAATCTATGTGTACAAAAGGGCAATAGAATGCAATACTTTATCTTACTGTCATTCTATGTGACAGTAAGAGTGTCAGCCTTCTATTAATTAAAGAACATCTTCAGGATTAAAGGACGCAAGTCTCAACAGGACCTTGAAAAACGAATTCATGTGTTCATATTGATTACTGCAGTTGATCCAGAATGCTGCTGCCTGCATCCTCACTAAAACTAAGAAAGTAGAGAACATCCACCCGGTTCTAAAGTCCTTCCACTGGCTCCCTGTACCTCAGAAAATTAACTATAAATACTTATGTTTGTCAAATCACTGAGAAGCTTAGCTCCAAAATAAAATGCAGACTTGTTTTCATAGAATGAGCCCCCAGAGTTCTCAGGTGTTTAGGCTCCAGTCTACTCTGCATCCAGAACAAAACAAGGAGCAGCAGATTATGTTCCTATGCTCCAGAAATCTGAAAGAAACTCCCAGAAAAGTGAAAAAAGTGCTGAAACCTTAAAAACTTACTTTAAATCGAGGTTGGAGACCTATTGTAAAGCTTGATATAAATTAAGGCAGAACAAATAATCACATTTACAATATAACCTAAATTTTACAAAAATGCAATTTTCAAAGCACACAAATTTGGTTACATTAAATTTAACAAGAATAAGGCACTGACTTTTGACTCCAGCCCTTTAGGTGGTAGTAATATGCTTAAAGTGGGTTTGCATGCAGAGTTTCTGATAGCATCTGAATCCATGAATGCCAGCAGAAGCGAGCACTTTTACATTCCTTTGTCTTTTGCCAACTGACTCTACACAAGTAAGCTTTCCTTTGTCATAAAACAACGAAACCCTGGAGTAAAACGTCTACATGCTTATAGGTTAATGCAAAAGAAAATAAACACATTGCAGTATTTTTTGATGCTCAATTTTTGACATTCAGCTCTTTTTTACAGAAACTTTTTAATGAAATTATTTTAGTTGTTGGACTATTGTCCAACTTTCTTTATCTTCCTCTATTTATATCCTCCTATCCGATTTATCCTATTTATATTCCTTGTTAATACTGAATCATGTTCATTCCAATATTAATGTACCACTTTTCTGTTGGTCATATAAGATCCTACATAAAATAGATTGTCTTGTGTTAAGTTTAGCAGGTATGAGTATGGTGGAATCTGATTAAGCAGAGTATAATCTTTACCTGCACGCAGCTTCCTGCACGCGCTTGTTACTATCCAGTATGCGTTTCAGCAGTTCGGTCATTAGAGGCTTTAGGTAAACATCCGGGGGCTGGCTGACCACCCAGTGCGCATAGCGGCTCAGTGTCCAGCAGGTAATGGATCGCACCAGTGCCTTTTTGTCAGACAAGCACTGGATGAGATGTGGGATGAGCTCAGGTAGGTATGGGATCATGCCCTGCATGCAACCTGGAAAACATAAAGGAGATGAAGAAAAAAACTAAGCAATGTTTGAATCTGATCTTTTTTCTATCCTCAGATCTTTCTCCTTATCCTACCTTCAGCTATAGCCCCCAGCACCAGGATGCCCGACTCTTTCACTACCCAGTCGGGATGGAAAAGCAGTTCTTTGAGGAGTGGAAGAATGTGCAGCAGGAGATCATCCCTGAAAACATTGGCTAACACATCCAGGGCTGCTGCAGAGCACTTTCCTAACATTTACAGAGCACAGGAAACAGACGAGGGTAAACGGAAAAAGACAAGGCAAGAAAAAAAAAAAAAAAACAGGAAAATAATCACCAGTTTCTTTACAAGTTCTCTGCAAAAGTACAGAAATTATTTAAGATAACAAAACTCACGCAGGTTCCAATCAGAAATCGTATCGTCGTCATCCATCTCATCATCGTCATCATCGTCTTCCTCAATCCCATCACCCTCATGCTGTTGGGCGACTGTGCGAGAGCGGTGAAAGCGCGGTCTGATGTCTTGCTCGTTGTCTGGGACGGCTTCATCTTCCTCGATGTCTCCCTAAAAATAAACAGGGCTTCGCATTACGTCATGACATAAAAAAAAAAAAATAACTTGATATTTTTATCACATTAATTAATCCTTTCTTGAAAAGCACTAACACTTGTCCCAGATACCGTTACAGTCAGAACAACTTAATCCAAACGCATATTATCTTGATTCATGGAACAGATCATCTGAACGCTGACCTTGAGCAGGATAATGTCGATCTCGGAGTACTTCATCCCGTTGACAAGTACAGGAATGAGCCTGGAGCAACATCAAGGGGTAGAATTATGTGAAAAAAAAAAACAAAAACATGCAAGGATAGGTCCAAGCCTACAGGCAATCACTCACATCTGAGGTCCTACTTTAGGCACATTTTTTAATGGGACAGTTTTGATACCACAGGGATTCTTACTCATCCCACCATGAGGAGGAAATTGATCCGGCGACCCAGGCAGCCATGAATCAACCATTATTGCAATGATAGTACAGCACAAGCTTGTGTGGGTGGGTTCTTACTGAGACAGGTGACCGCACAGCACTTCTTTACAAACTGGCTGCTCGGCCAGCGTCAGCCAGAACTCACAGGCCTCCAAGGCGACATTCTCATCTGGGTCTCGAGTCCTCTGGAGCATGTACTGCAGTGACCAAAAAACAAATAAAGATGCTTGTATGCATGTTCTCCATCTTTGCTTCCATGAATCGGCCTGTCAGCCAAACGTCTTTACCTCTATGATGTTGTGCATGTGAGGCAGGAGACGATCCAGGCGGACCTCAAGCAGCATGACGAGAGCTCGGCAAACATTCTTCCTCACTTCTGGCTCCTCGTCTGTCGCCAGAGCAAACAGGTTCTGCAAAAACACACAAACTGACGCCCTTTAGTACTGGAAATAAACAGAAACCGTGACGCAGGATATGGCGCCTCAGGGATGGACACATCAGTTGTTCATTTTATTTCAATTTGATTTTTTCTTTATAATGGACTGAAGAAGAAACTGAAATTACTGTAAAGGGTACGTTTAATTAATGTATTTTTAGATATAAAACTTGTGTGCCTCTACGAGGTTTGCAGATATAAAGAGGAAAATATTTGCCCATTTTCAAACCTTTCCACTAGATTCTCAATTTGAATTAAGCCTGGAGCATTCAAGTACCCCTGGTTGTGTTTCATCCTCTGCCCTGCAGGAAGGTCGACCTTCCCACTAGTTTCAACTGTCACAGGGTTGCTATGGGAATCCCACAGTAAAGTATCCTGCCAAGGTTCTAACAAACTTCTGACGCCTTTACAGAATGGCTGAGAAGATTAAATCATACAAACAAATTTATTGAACTCATTAAGAAGCATCAGATCGCAGAGGTTGAATTATAAAGTAATTCCCCAGTGGAAACCATTTTATATAGATCATGTATTAGCTCCCATCCACCAGTTTTATCTGATCCACCAAAGAAATCCTCTCCTAAAAAGCCTAACTTCTGTGTTTATAATGTGACAAAAAGTGAGGATTAAAAGGAGAATGAAGACTCTATCACCTTATATGCAATTACATTTTATAATATTTTCCCTCATCTTTACACCTTTCCGCTTCTGTGAACAAAGTTTCTGTTCTGATAAATAAAACATTTTCAAACACAAATTTGCCAAATTCATACTTCATGCACAGCTGCTTATCTTGCTTACCTCAATGAACGGGTCAATGTGAAGCATTAGAGCCTGGGTCCTGCTGATGATGAACTGGTTCACACAGGCGATGGCATGAGACCTGCAACACAATAACCCTCGCTGAAGTCACACCAGCCTGCTTTGCTCACATGCTGCACACTATAAATGCTGCCTCTGTGCTACTTTTTGCTGGGATCTTGTTTTGTGGAAATGCAGATAGCCATCAAATTCAAACTCAGGCCGAGAGCAGACCCAAGTTTTTTTATTTCAACATAAAAAACAAGATATTTCAGGATCTACAGACAGAACCCTGATAAAGATAAATCTATATCTTTTACTGCAGCTCTGCAGACAATTTCAGAAAAATGTTTTTTTTCAGTACATTGGTTTTATGCAGAATTACAGGAATAAAAAAAGGGGGAAAAAAAACAAAATTTAACTGAAGATTTTTATTTATACTTGTGTTAAGTTGATGAACTTCCATTTAGTCATTGAGAGATTGTATTTCCATGTTTATTTTATAGCTCACCTTAACAGAGCAGCATCTTTGGGTCACCAAGTCTCCATAGCAACCCTTAGGTACTTTCAACAACACCAGCCTTTTGTTGTTTGTTGTTATTTTTGTTTTTTTTAGAGGCATGGGAGGGAAAAACCTTTTATAGGATTACGAATATAAACGTCTATAGTTGGCTGAACTGAAACTGCAGAGACAAAGAATGAGCAAAAGGAAAATAGCTCATCCCCACTGTTAGGTGTGGCAGGTGATGTGTGATGCTGTGGGCTTGTTTTCCTCTCAAATGTGAATGGAAGCTTGTAAGAGAGTGTATGGTATAATATTTTAACATTAATATTTCCCCTTATAGGGTATTAAAACAAGCGGTGATCCCAAACAAATGGCCAAATCTACACATAAAAGTTTTTCTTGTCTTTTAATTAAACATTTTTAATTTTGGTCGTCTGATCTAGAGCACATAGAGGCCCTGTGAGGTGGGTTACAGGGCATTGCCACATCCACTGAAGTGTATAAAAAAAAGCTTGCTTTAATCAAAAAAGGCTTTAAAAATTTGGATTTGAGTTACCTAATTTTTGGGCTGTTGTGTTTGAAAAACTGCAAGAACTTGGGTATCATAATGTTCAGTGGCCGATCCAGCATGTCACTGTCCAGGATCTCAGCAGAGTCCTCGCAGATCTTCTGCAGAGCCCCGAACGCCCCCTAAAAAACAAGGAAAAAAAATATAAAAAAATACATGAGAGGGATCACATTATTGCAATTGCAATTATTCAAACCTCCTAAATATTTAATTACGTTTTAAACACATAATCTTCCCTACAGTAAACAAAAATGTCATGATGGCTACATGAGGATTCACCTGCTTCTATGAGAATAACCTTCAAACTCAAACACACCTCTGTGAATATTAGATGCTTGTTTAGTATGCAGCCTTTACAATACAGGTGCTGGTCATAAAATTAGAATATCATGAAAAAGTTGATTGATTTCAGTAATTCCATTTAAAAAGTGAAACTTGTATATTATATTCATACATTACATACAAACTCATATATTTCAGATGTTTATTTTGTTTAATTTTGATGATTACAAATGACAACAAATGAAAATCTCAAATTCATCATATCAGAAAATTAGAATATTACTGAAGACCAATAAAAACAAAGGATTTATAGAAATGTTGGCCAACTGAAAAGTATGAACATGAAAAGTATGAGCATGTACAGCACTCAGTATTTAGTTGGGCCTCCTTTGGCCTGTATTACTGCAGCAATGCGGCGTGGCATGGAGTCGATCAGTCTGTGGCACTGCTCAGGTGTTATGATAGCCCAGGTTGCTCTAATAGTGGCTTTTAGCTCTTCTGAATTGTTGGGTCTGGTGTATTGCATCTTCTTCTTCACAATACCCCATAGATTTTCTATGGGGTTAAGGTCAGGAGAGTTTGCTGGCCAATTAAGAACAGGGATACCATGGTCCTTCAACCAGGTACTGGTAGCTTTGGCACTGTGTGCAGGTGCCAAGTCCTGTTGGAAAATGAAATCTGCATCTCCAAAAAATTGGTCAGCTGCAGGAAGCATGAAGTGCTCTAAAACTTCCTGGTATGTGGCTGCGTTGACCCTGGACCTCAGAAAACACAATGGACCAACACCAGCAGATGACATGGCACCCCAAACCATCACTGACTGTGGAAACTTTACACTGGACTTCAAGCAACGTGGATGAAGTGCCTCTCTTCTTTTCCTCCAGACTCTGGGACCTTGATTTCCAAAGGAAATGCAAAATTTACTTTCATCAGAGAACATGACTTTGGACCACTCACCAGCAGTCCAGTCCTGTTTCTCTTTAGACGCTTCTGACGCTGTCTGTGGTTCAAGAGTGGCTTGACACAAGGAATGCGACAGCAGAAACCCATGTCTTTCATACGTCTGTGTGTGGTGGTTCTTGAAGCACTCACTCCAGCTGCAGTCCACTCTTTGTGAATCTCCCCCACATTTTTGAAGGGGTTTTGTTTCACAATCCTCTCCAGGGTGCGGTTATCTCTCTTGCTTGTACACTTTTTTCGACCACATCTTTTCCTTCCCTTCGCCTCTCTATTAATGTGCTTGGACACTGAGCTCTGTGAACAGCCAGCCTCTTTAGCGATGACCTTTTGTGTCTTGCCCTCCTTGTGCAAGGTGTCGATGGTCGTCTTTTGGACAACTGTCAAGTCAGCAGTCTTCCCCATGATTGTGTAGCCTATAGAACTAGACTGAAAGACCATTTAAAGGCTTTTGCAGGTGGTTTGAGTTAATTAGCTGATTAGAGTGTGGCACCAGGGGCCATCAATTTTGAACCTTTTCACAATATTCTAATTTTCTGATATGATGAATTTGAGATTTTCATTTGTTGTCATTTGTAATCATCAAAATTAAACAAAATAAACATCTGAAATATATGAGTTTGTATGTAATGTATGAATATAATATACAAGTTTCACTTTTTAAATGGAATTACTGAAATCAATCTACTTTTTCATGATATTCTAATTTTATGACCAGCACCTGTATGGTGCACAGTCTAAAAAAAGCAGCCCTGGGAAGGCAGACTGCACAGACAGACTGTGCGAAATGCGTTTCCATGGAAACCTGCTCCTATGTCAGTTTTCCTCTTAGATGATAGAGAGGGTGCAAAAAAAAAAAGTGGGGGGATGAAATAAGATGGAAAAGGGTACGGTGTCAAGGTCACAGACGGCGACGCCATCAAGCGGTTTCACTCATTAGAATGCAAAGTTCCTCCAAAAACATTAGTGAGAAGTAGCTTCTGTAAATGTCATTGTTGGAGCTGACGTAAAGGAAAATATTGTAAAAATTCTTTGATGTGCGTGACATTTAACGGTAGATAAAATAAATACCGATACAAGCAGATTATGATAAGATATAAGTGGCTTTCCTACAGGAAACAAGCCACTCCTGGTGAAATAAACAAGCTCAAATAAGAGCAGGCAGAGGCAGAGGAATGGGGGTGCAGAGAGCCTAGTCCTCCCCATGTTGAGTTTAAGTGAAAGTCTACCATTGCACGACTGAATCTATGCAGGTAGCTCGAGGATGGATTCAAAGAAATGTTTGTTCAGCAAATTTAACAACCCTGGAAATATAAAAAATTAACTACAAGAGCATTGATGAAGAGCTCACACACAGCGACGACCAACGCAAGCATATATGAAATTAAACTGACCTTTACAACCCGACTGCATCCACATGCCAGCTGCCATTAATCAAAACACTGAAACTGTCTGGGCAAACCTATATTAAGCCATCCCCCAGTCTTACACCTGCTTCTTCCTTTTTATAGAGCACGCAGAGTGTGGAGGGGGGGATGTAAAGCAAAGCCACATGAGTTTGGCCTGTTCTTCCAAATACTGAACTGAAACTACATTAGCGAGACTGAAACTAAAATCTTAGTGCTAAAAAATTCTGTTACTACTTTGGATCATGTTGCACCCGCAATTCGGTTAAGATGGCGATGACGTCCGATCGCACCATCAGGCCTCGGCTGGTGATTTTATAGACTGTCTCCGCTCACAGTGCCAGGCCTGTTGGCGATACAAGAAAGCTGAGCATCACATCATAAATCTAAAATAATTGCAGAATATCTAGACCATCACTATTAAAATGAACTGAACACAGAAAATATTTCTCATTTCTTGAAACTTAAAGCCCTGTCCAAAAATAAAAACGGATATAAGAGAACAAGTAGCCGTTTCAGTATGGGTTTATTCATGGTTTTTGTAATTATAAGCGGAATGAAATCGGTATGATGGCTCACATTATATTGGTAAACATATCTAGAACTAGAATCAGAGGCCTTTTAAAGCACAAGGTTCCTGTCGGTGTTCAGACATAGCCTACAGCAGACGGTGAGCTCTGCGCAGTCGTTTTAAAAACAAACAGGCTATTCTTTTGTGCACAGATTTTAAAACGCTAGTTTAGATAATTTTTTTTTAATAACCTTCTTAAAAAACATTCCTAATGGAGACAATGCGGCTTCTTGTCAGTGTCATGAGAGCTGCTCTCCAAAAGAAAACTATGCAGAAAGCAGTCGTAAAGCTAATTTACAACGCTGTAAAAGAAAAAAGAGAGGAGGAGAAAAAGCTTATTGCAAACTCAAAAAGTTCAAAACCACAGCCTTATGTTGACCTTCAAAAAATCTGGTGCTAATGTACATGTAGCTGTTCAGATTATCTGCAAATATAGCTTCATGGTGATCAGTGATAGGAGAGGGATTTCCTTTTGAATGGAACAGCCATTTAGCATCAGAGGTTTAAAGAAGCGAAATCAGCTAAAATAATCCAGATTTACAGTTTACCCATTCTTTAAAATTTCACACTATAATACCAAATCCTGCAAAAACAACAGAAGCATCTTTGACAAAATTCCCAGAAATCCAGACCCTAAATCTCAGAATCATACTAAATGTAGAGTATACTTCAGTGGCGGCTGGTGAAAAATATTTTTGGTGGGGCTGATATAGCCTAGTGTATGTCTCAAACTAATCCGGAATAAGAATTCAAATAAACAATTGGACAATACATACAATTTAACAGTAATGATTTAATTTACTATATAATAAGAGTAACAGTGATGATTTGGGTCACTGTGACGGGGTTCTTTGGCCTCCAAGAATCCAGGCTCAGTCGGGTTACCGGTGTTGGTGATTTATTGTGCTCAAAAACTCAAAACAGGGTGCAAAAGAAACTAAACATGTACAAGATCCTCTGGGCCTCAGCCTCCCTCCAGTTACCAGCAATGTAACAAAGAAACAGAAAACAAAAATTGCCACTTTTCTTCCCACAGCCCTCATTAAATAGTTTAAGCCCCTCACCTCAGGCTCTCTTATTTCTGATTTCTTCTCATAAATCAGTTTTGTCCATATATTACCTCCACAAACAATTGATGTACAAAAACAAATAATTTTTACAACTTAATTCTTTTACACAGATTCATTGACTTATTCAATTACACCAAACTGGGTTTGAACCCAGCAAAGACGCAGCCAGACTGAAGATGACAAGTCCCCATAGCATAAACACGTACACACCCACACCCCCCACACACCCACACCCACACACACATACACACACGGCTAACCCCACTGAAATATTAAGTGTGCACCCTCAATACGCCAGCAGGTAACCAGGAACAGCTTGTGTGTTTTAAGTTCATGGAGCTACTGGGCTCAGCGCGAGTGTATTGGTCCTCACAAACACAGTATAACAGGAATGTGTGTGTGGCGCGCAAAGTTAGGGAGGTTGTTTTAAGCGACGAGGTGGATTCGTCACAGTCACAATAACCATGACATGAAATGTTCATATCCTACAACAGGGATGTACTTCTGGCAAACGGGTAGATAAATAAGGATCTCACCGAGTTTGGTGGAAGCTGCATCTTGTTCGTTACATTCGCCATCTTCCCTCTAATTGTCTGCACCTGCGCTTGGGTTCAGAAGCCTGTTAAAGCGCAGTATTTTCAGCGCCCCAAGACCATAAAGTTCTGAGACGCTGATTGGCCATTAAATTCACCTAGCAATAGTACATGATTGACAGATTCTCTGCAAATGTGGGTCAGTCTGATCAGCGCCCCCAGAACAGAGACGGTAGGAGTCTGTCTGTGGAAATCCACAAATTAATAACAGTAGATAGGGAAATGTAGTTTATATAATTTGTTTTGCTTATAGGTACACAGTCTAGAGAGTAAAACTGACATTTATGAGTTAATTTCTAAAAATATATTTTACGTTTCTCTCTTCTTATCAGGGAGGGCGGTGCCCCAGCGCCCCCTATGGGCCAGCCGCCACTGGTATACTTCCATTATCGAATGCCTTTTACTGTTAGACCTAATTATTATTTGGTATATCTGATATGTTGAAAGTGCTTCCAGTAGGAAACAATTCAGTAGTATTATCCACATTGGAAACACAGCCTGGGAATAACAAGTAGGCAAAAATGCATCTTTTAAACACATTTAAACCTGGAGGACAATTTGTGCTCCAGCATTAAACTAGACTATCTTCAAAAATGAGACATTAAGAAGCTTAACTGCCTTCAAGCTGCTTTTGGAAAACGTATCAGCTCTACTAAAGGGTTTTTACATTTAGTCGCTGTTCAATCTTAAGCCTTACACACACACACACACACACACCGACACTTCAAGATCCACTGCAGTAAACAGCTGACCTAAATCTAAGACTCTGAATCAGCTTTATAGGAGATGATGGCAGCGTTGCCACAAGGGTATCCATTTTTATTCTTTTTTTCTCGTCAGCTGCACCCCTTCCTTAGATTTCAGATAAATCTTCTCCCTGAACATCATCTGGACATTCCTGCTGCAGTGAACGATCCTGTCAGGATACATTTCTATGACTCAGCTGCATGTAGCATGACAGTTCCAACATGCTACCTGTTCATCTGATATAACGGACCAAGCTGCAGGCGCAGCTCGTATTACTGACATCCAACATCTAAAACCCACAAAATCAAAGATGAATTATGGGCACAGCAGGTTTATGGAGTTACAGAAAATGCTAATCTTTTTACTAATTTGCCAAGCAGTAAAATCAGTATTAAACTCTGAAGCTGGCATTGAAATGAAAACAACTGAATCACAATGGATGAAAGATTAAAAAAAGACAAAGATTAAAAGAAGAGAGCCCTGTGCTGCAAAAAAAAAAGCAATTCTGGGCGATTATGTGTGAAAAATGGGGTCATATGGTTTTCTGGTTTGGACAGACTGATAAGGTTCCATGCTGAATAATCTGCATTGGTAGCTGCCGCTCCAGCTGTGAGGCTGCTTTAAGCTCATCTGGCCAGCAGGATGGCATCCAGATGCTGTTTTGTCTCTTCTAGTCTTACAACAAATTAACGCACATTATACCAGACATCAGAGGGAAGCATGCTCACTCTCAGCCCCTCTATTACCATACCCTAAGAGAATTTAGCCTTTTATTTCATGTTACATTTTAGGGTGTTTTATTAGGATTTTATGTGACAGACCAAGACAAAGTAAAAGCCCTTACACTTTGCTCCATTACCCCTAAATACAATCCAAGGCAAGTTACAGCTTTTGAGGGTACCAAGTCAGGTAAAAGTCCTACTTGGGTGTAATATGGCTGCCCTTTCAATGCCTCCCAACGTTTTTAGAGAGCCCCAGCAGACAAGTCAGGGGGACAATTATATATATATATATATATATATATATATATATATATATATATATATATATATATATAAACTAGCACTCTCCTTCCACCTCATGATTATTACCTGACAATTAGGAGATGCATGTGCTTAATATACAATATGTAAAGTTAGAGCATTATTCTTTATTTTTGATGTCTAGACGCCCTTTCTCTCACCGACACAAGCCATAGACAAGCCATGTAGCTGCAGTGAAAAACACGAATCCCATTTTGCCCAAAGCTGAATTCACAGATTCATGCAGCAACACTAGGTGCTATGCATATGAAGCAGATTCTATGTCTAAACTCTTTTCTCTCACCTCGCATGTATTATAGTCCTCAGAGTCCAGCAGCAGGCAGAGTTTAGGCAGAAGCTCAGGCCAGTTTTGCAGCTCTCCTTTGGAGGCGATGGTGGTGATGAGGATACCTACAGAGGAGAAGTCATTTAGTTTCACAAGTCAAAGAAATCTAATCTTACTAATATGGAGGAGCTTTATACAGCACTGGAAGGTGGATTTGAGTTAGACACAGCTGCAGCTGTGAGGTTTATGCTTTGCTTTGCAGTAGGTTCAAACAGCAAGCAATAAAAACCACAAATCATTTGCTTTCATGAAAGATTCTTCTATCAAACGAACCGCAGATCACAGCATCTACAGGCTGCAAAGCCAGTACTAAGAGCAGGTGAAATGCATTTAGTAACAACATGGAACAATCAATGCTAATAGTGCTCGCAGACATGACCAGAATAAAGGAAATTGTCTTTTACTCTGTGGCCCCTACTTATGTTTCACCTTTTAAACATTCCTAGCTCAGCCCCTTTTATAGAGAGAGGAGAATAAATGTGCAGGAGTTCAGAAAGGCCAATGTGTCTAAATCCATCTAGTTTTAGCTGCACTCCCACTCCAAATGTTGCTTCAAATTAGCAGCATCCTCTTAAGCTGCTGCAAACGCAGACAGTCGGAGGTGAAGAACAGCAGTAACAGTTGCTGGGCGGTTCTGCCAACACCATGAGATAAACCAGCCACGGTACTTCCCAAACATCCCTGGATGGAGTCGTTTTCTTCTTAGGAAGGAAAAAACATGGAGCTTCATTGCAGTCTAACGAAAAGCTCGACACATTCAGATGAACGTGCAAGACCGCATCGTGTGCATTTTGCATTTGGACTAAAATATATAAGCATCCTGCAATCGGTGTCTTAATTCATTTACATGGTTTAGACTATTCCACTGAGCCTGGGTTAAATAGATCATGTAGCATTTGATGCACCTTAGCCTGTGGTTTGACACAGATATGTCAGGCTAGGGTTTCTAACCTATCTAAGCAGCACTGCTCCTAAACCTTCAGTTAGGATTTTTTTTTTTTTAATAAGGGGAGAAAGGTGAGTAACACTATTTAATTATATTTCAAGTACTTAAATAGAAATACAAAGTATTTTGTTTACTAGTGCACTGCCATATAAGAAAAAACAAAATACAAAATTAGATTTCTCTTTTTTCTAAAAGGAAAAATGGAATAAAAAAAGGAGGATGCATACTAAAAAAAACCTAGAATGAATAAAACATAAAAATATGGTTACAACTCCAGTTCTACAACAGATTAAGGATAAAAATTACTTTTTTTTTTGTATAAACAACTCTGCAGACGCTCAAGTCAAATATTTAAGTCCTCTACATTTTAATTATAGACAGAAATATAACTTAGTGGTTCTCGCCTTACTAGAATAATGAGCTGAGCTGAATAAATAAACTTCACTTTAAAAATGTTTATTTATCCAACAAGGAAACTAAAATACCCTAATTAATATAGATATATTAATATCCCAGATATTAATCTGGTTCGGTTGTAATATCCCAGATATAGTTAACGCAAGGTTCTATCAAATCCTGCATCCCTGCAGTGATTCAATATGCCGTGCTGCTTATGGAGATTTAGAACACACCTACACAGAGACTTTTTTTAAGCAAAGATGCAACAGCGCTTTATAAGTCAGAAAAAAAATTAAAATCTACCATAAGCCAATCTGACACAGATTGGTGGAAACAAAGATGACAGAAGCAGGTTTTATAGAAAGATCCCTGTAGGGTGAAAGTTTAGGTAACTCACCCACAGTGGCTCGAATGAGGGGAGACGTGTCCCCGATGTTTTGGAGGCATTCGCTCTTGATGAAATCAGACACTCCGTTTGGGAAGTTCTGATAGTGAGCCTTCACATTGTTCTTCAGAATCAGTCCACTCAGGGAACGGGTCGGTTCATCTGTGGGGGTGGGAGGAGGACAAAGAACAGGTCAGAGGTGATAAGAGCTCACTGTGAGCTTACCGATGCTCAGTCGATCCAGGATTCCCTTTTACAAACATGAAATTAACCATAAATCTAAAAAAGGAAAAATGCAGCAGAAGAACATTTTTAGAAAAGTACATTTGCATCATTTTTGTCCCCCTTTCTTAGGTTTTTCTTATTTTAGTCACACTTTAATGTTTCAATTAAAGTTTCCAAAATGTCAAATCTAGAAATAATGTAAATAGGACCCATCTGACATCATATAAACACTTTGGAAAAGTCAAAAATTCACATTTACTCAAAAATTTATATATAAATAAATCTTAATGATATAAAGACTTTTCAGCAAAAACTTTAGATAGAAAGCTGGACTTTATAAAGTCCGGTGTTTCTTGTCACATTTGACCTAAAACCTAAAAATCACACCAACACTGATCTTAGTAAGATCAGCCAGCCCAACTCTGAAAGGCTGAAGGATAAAATAGCAGATCTGAATATAATGCTTTAAATGGTGGAAATAAGACAAATCTAAAAAGCTAAAGATCTAAAAACACTAATTGGCAACACTCAATGAGAATGTTTGCATCATTGGTTAACATCCTTTTTTACTAAGAACCGGGTTGTTCTGGATAGCTTCCCTCTGAATAAACAATATCAACATTTAATAAACAATTTAGGCTCATTATGTCCGATACTAAAATGCTTTTAATGGTCTGATGAATTAAACTGCATTTAATTTAAGAGCAGCGGTTAAAGCAGCAAATCAAGATGTCTCAACACCCTCCTGGATCTTTGCAGACAGTCGTGCCAAACGCTGCATCTATGCCAGGAATCAGGTTTAAATTTAGCCTGACCCATATTCCCAGAGCCGCATCATCTATAGCAGAGATGCCCTTGGGTCACCCAAGTCATAGCCAGACAGATCCATCACCCCAAAAAAGGTGCTGCATTAAATAAAATGATACAAACATGAGGTTAGAAAAAAAAAGGAGACGGATAAACTGCTTACCTTCAGATTTTAATTTGGTCAAAACAAATATCAGATAGTTGTTGAAGTCTGGATACTGGTTCAGCTGCTCCAGTCTCTGAGAAAAGCGGTTGAGGAAGACAACTGTACAGATTTATATTGCAGCAATGAAGCATAACGTTTATTTTTTATTATTGTTTTCTTTTCATCCACACGGTGGAGAGAGGTAATAAGTGGCGGTTTGATGTTTCTATGGGTCATAAATATGTCATTTACCACGACCGAGCGCGGAGAGTACCGAACCAGATGGCGTCTTTAGGGCAATATCACGTATGAGCTAATGATGTGGCTCATATGAGGGGGGGAGGGATTACATAAGCAAGTCATTTAGGATCAGCAAGCAGCCACACAGAAACAAGTCAGCCTAGCTGAGGATGATCCGTTTCCTCTAATGTGAAAATACTCAGGCTCGTTTGCAATTGATAACTGTTCAAAAGTAAAACAATTACAGGGATTAATGAAGCTGCAATTAGCAAACCACGCAGATAGTCCTTATTAACTTCTCTGAACTTTTTATATTTGCTGCTCAATCTCATCATAGGGTCATGAGAACGTTTATTCCAACATGTCTGCGCTTTACGATTCAAGGTTTGTTCATTTTTGGCTCTTTGAAAAATGAGACGACAGCAGATGTCAATGTGAAAAGCTCAAATGACAGCTGCTCAGGTTTGGCATAAAATTTAAAGGCTGAATGATTTTGCCAAAAATTTAACCGGTATTGATTTTATTCCCACTATAATCTGCATAAATCATAAGCATGAAGACATTGAACCCCAGGGTTTCATTGTTTTCATGACCTTGAAAGCTTGCTTATTCAAAATCTATCAGTGAAGGACTTTACTGTTACTTCTACTAGCAGGCATTGATCTGCTACTAACTGAAAATCTATCTTCCTTTCTCTGTGGTGTCAAAGACTTTTTAAAAGCATTACCAACACCTAAAGGGCTGGAGTGAGTAAGTCGGAGTCTTCCTCTTTTTAAATGTAACGTGATGAAGGCTGAGTGCCTCCAACATTTGAGAAATCGCAATAATATTGCGCAGCACTGTACCACATTTCTCTGTAATAGACCATTAGATAAAGCTTGTTTTTTGTTTTAAACAGAAAGAAACAATTGGTAGTAATATTTCTGTACCACTAATCTGATTACAGCAAACTGCTAGCTGCCTAACCAATATCGTCACCTTCTTAAAATAATTGCCTAAGTCATTTTTTTTCAAAAATGATTTTTTTGCCTAAATCATCTCTTCATGATGCTGGCCACCTCTGGTAAAATTGCCTACATCCTCAATTAAACAGATCATGCCATTCTACCCCTTTTGTATAATTGCCTATGTCAAGAGTGTGACTTAGGCAGTTTTATTTTTGCTTAAGTCACCAGACAAATTGACTTAGGCAATTTTAGAAGTTTTTCAAAATGGCGGATGATTCTAGGAGACGAAAATTCTACACAGCTGCTGAAGCTATTTCCAAGATTCTGGACTCTTCCCATGTTGGTAAGTGAAGATGTTTACTATAATATACACTAGGCTATCAAAATTGCATAAAATGTGATCTTTTGTGAAAATTTTAGTTTAGGAAGCTAGCTAAAAATGCTCTGTGTTAGACTGGCGGCCTGTCCAGGGTATGCCCTGCCTTTGCCCGAAGCCAGCTGAGATTGCCTCCAGCATTAACCATGACCCTAATGAGGAATAAGTGGTATCGATAATAGATGGATGGATGGATGGATGGATGTAAGTTAGCTAAAAAGCACAGTGGAAAGACTCCAGAGTCATCTAACTAAGAAAGTTTTCAATTCTGTAATGTAATCTACAGTCTAGAAAAAATTCACAAAGGACCCTCTTTACTCGATTGATTTTAACTAATGAAAATTTCAGATGAACATAAGTAATCGTAAATGATTTGACTGGTGTTATAGTGTGCCTGTGTTGCTGTATCTAGAGGCAACTTGCAAACCATTTTGGGAATCCACAATGTATCTTAAATACAATTGACCTCAAAGGCAATTCATGTTTGTCAGAATAATCACACATTTTTGAAAGATTTGAATATTTTTTTTTCCCATTTTGGTAGGAGATGCACTTGATATTGATGACACCAGTCTGTCCTCATCTACTGAGAATGACAATGAGACCATCAATAAAGAGATGATGCAGTATGTTGATAATGATGCACCATCTGCTCCCATGGATAAAGTTAAAGATGCCAAGCAGACACATCCACACCAAGAAGACACAATATCAAATGATGATGGCGATGATGGTGATGATGTCATTCAAGATCCGGACTATACCCCAACCTGTGATGAGTCCTCTTCTCCTGAAGATGAAAACAGCCTATCTATGGTGGCAACAACTTTAGAACAGCAGGATGAGGATGTTGAATTAAAAGATGTAGGCAAAAAGAAAAGAAATAAACACCTCAGTCCAAGAACATGGAAGCAAAATGAATCCAAGCAGAAACGTCTAAAAGGAATTTCATACAAGAGCAAAAGTGGCAAAGAAATAAGTGCAAAGACTATGGGTCCTCCCTGCAACTCCAAGTTCTGTCAGCGAGTCTCAACTCGAGACTGCCAAGTCCTTACAGAAGAGCAGCGGCAGTGGGTATTTGACAAGATTTGGGCAATGAACACCTGGGAAGAACGTCGGTTATACGTCACCACTTTGGTCACAAAGACTAGCATAAAGCAAAAAAAAAGTTACGGAGGGATCCCGACGCAATTCATCATTTACCTACCAACTGAAGCTTGAAGATGGAACAAGAGTTAAAGTGTGCAAGGCACTTTTTTCTTCTACAATTGGTCTCCCTGAAAGAACCATTACAAAATGGCTGGATGACCCCATCAACCCTGAAAAACAAGCAGAAGTGCCATCAAAATCTGGACCCAAAAGTGGCTGGCACAGAAAGGTTGAAACTGATGTCAAGGATTTCCTTAAGAACTGGTTGAGGGACCTGCCCAGTGTTGACTCACACTACTGCAGAAGCACAGCTACCTACAAAGACAAGAAGTTCCTTTACCAAGGCACAACCATCTCCCAACTACATCGTGAATATGGACAGGCAGCTGCAACTGCTGGAGTGAGAGCTGTTGGAATCCAATATTTCACAGCTGTGTTCCATGAGGAGAACTACTCCGTATTTATTCCAAGAAAAGATCTGTGTGATGTTTGTGTTTCATTCAAACATGGAAATATCAGTAAGGCTGCATACAACGCACATGTCACCAAGAAGGATGAAGCGAGGCAAGAGAAATCTAGGGACAAGGATTCTGCTGATAAAGAGAAGTCCGTTTGGACAATGGACTTGCAAGCTGTGCTACTGTGTCCAAAAACCCAAGCCAGCAGCCTGTATTACAAAACAAAACTGCAGGTCCACAACTTTACCCTTTTCAACTTGAGATCAAAGGAAGGCTACTGCTATGTTTGGGATGAATCAGAAGGTGACCTCTGTAGCGAGGTATTTGCACATCTTCAGTATCATCATTTTGAAGGTGTGATCAAAGGCCATCCAGACCTCAAGGAGATCATAGTGTGGAGCGACGGTTGCGGTTATCAGAATCGCAATACATGTGTAGCAAATGCATACTCTGAGCTTGCAAGGAAATATGGGGTGCTAATAACTCAGAAATACCTTCTTGCAGGTCATACACAAATGGAGTGTGACAGTATGCATAGTACTATTGAACGAAAATTAGTTGCAGATATCTTCACCCCAAGAGACTATGTCATTGTACTCCAGGCTGCAAGAATCAGGCCATCACCTTACTATGTGAAAGTGCTCAAGCACGATGAGTTCCTGAAGCTGAATGGATCTTACTTCTTCAGCATCAGACCAGGCAAAAAAGTTGGAGACCCGACTGTGCATGACTTGCGGGGTCTTCAGTTTAGCAGTGACGGCAAGGTCCATTTCAAGCTGTCCTTTTCAGAAGACTCTGTGTGGGAAGAACTGCTACAAAGAGTGCAGGTGCCAAATGGGCCAATGGCATGGATAAGTTTGTTTCCATGTGCTCTGCCAATCAAAGAGAGAAAGTTCCAGGACCTCCAGTCAATGAAACCCATCATGCCTGTCGAGTGTCATCACTTCTTTGACAATTTGCCACACTAATAGGCATCAGACAAAAACTCAGCAAAGAAGAGCTGGAAGGAGAAGTGGAAAAAATGCACATGCCTCCTCAGCATTATGTTTTGTTAGTTTGTGCTGTAAAATTGCCTAGGTCACAAAGGCATGTTCAGAAATTTGCCTAAGTCATTTAATTCTGTCATGTTCCATGTTTGACTGACCTTGCTGTTTGTATGTCAAAAGACATCTGTTGTTACAACTTTTTTGATTAAAATTGTTCGTAAATATCATTTATTCAACAAATGGTTCAGTTTTTTGTGTTTCCTGAAAAATTGCAAAAAATGACTTAGGCAATTATTTTAAGAAGGTGACGATATGCTCCTTAGGTAGTTCTCATTTGTAACATTCGTTTCCGTTCGTATTTCCGTATTTCTCAGAAGCATTTATCTCATTACGCTAATCCGGATTGGCTGGTGATCACAACAACTGCAGCTCTGTCCGACCGTCCGCTCTAACCCCTAAATCCCCCCAATCACTATATAGAGCAGGGACTATATAATGGACTTTATAATAACCTCAGTTAACTGACCGTTCGGACAGAAACATGCTCCCTGTTGGTCACATGACTCCGCCTAACCGCACAGTGCCTGCACTATCTTTGTTATTTGTCACTGTTGTCAGGTATGGCGACAGTGGGCCGCTGTGACAACAAAAGGCACAGCATTATGGGATAAATCTGCTCATCTAGTGACCATGGACTGTCACTACGCGATCCGTCCCGGAAGCACGATCCATTCTGCGCATGCGCATCTACATATACATCTGGGTTGCCCTCGATTTTATTTTGTTAAAAAGACCTAAATTACGTTTTTCCCTTCCCAAAAATAGTAAACATACTAAAATATAATGTGTTGAAGGTTAATGATGCATTTCCTGAGCAAAAAGATTGATTCAAATCCTTTTTATCACTTGTTTCTGCCCGACCTGCACTGGAAATGGGGTCCTACGCTACTTCCAGAGGCTAACTTTTTAGCCTTTGGATTTAAACATAAATCTAGTCTTTTTAAGTTTTATGTTTTCATTTAGTTTTAAAGCTACAGTGTGTAACTTTTAGCGACATCTAGCGGTCAGACTGCAGACCGCAGCAACATGAACATCTCCCCCCCAACGATTCTCCCCCCCCCAACAGTACGGCGAGCGTTACGGGACAAAATGTCTTCCACGACGTCCACATCACCTACCTTCTCAAGTGATGAGGTTTGTTTACATAGATAATTTTACAGATAGTATTTCATTAGTCTGTGTAGGGTATAGATTTCATGTAGACTTAAGATAATAAATATACCCGTTATTTTTTCTACATCGTTGTGACGTTTTGGCGATCTTGCAATCACTAGTTTGTTGGCTCTGCGCTGCCGTAGCGCAAAGATGTCTGCCTCCATGGCTGCGAGACCCGCTCCTATGTAATTATAAATAACGAATTCTAAGGCAACGCAAATATTAAGGTTAAGAGGCTGAGCTCGTAGATGATGATAAATAACATAGTTATGTATAATATATTACATTTCTGACTGTATATCCCTGTAATTATTACACACTGTAGCATTAACCTTATGCTATATAGGCGTAATCTAAAGAAAGACACAACTATAATGCAGATAAACATGCTTTAATTATATTTTGCCAGACTGCTCTGAGCATGTCTGATGATGGCGTCAGAGAAGAGGTTTAACGAAGAAAATGTAAAAAGCTTCAAAATTGTCTCACAAAAGTCATAAAACATTTTTTAAAGATGTGCATTAGCATTCTTTGGTGAGTTAAGGATAGAAATAAGTAGTTTTAGTACCATAATTACATTATTTATTCTATCAATTTATTTGCGCATGTGCAGAACGGATCATGCTTCCGGGATGGATCAGGTAGTGACATGGACGATCACTACATTTTAGGGTGCATTGTGGGAAATTTCGAGTCCACTACCTTTTCCCCCACTAGGACTGTGTACGAATGTCTGCCCAAATCACTATATAGGGCACTATATAGTGGTTACAACATTTTAGATGAATGTGTAAATGTCTATTGGATGAAGAAGTAGTGGACTCAAAATTTCCCACAATGTACCTTGACAATTAGTGATCAACAATGGTCGCTAGGCAAGCAGATATATCCTGGAATGCTTTATGAGGAGAGCATTACGGGACTTGTCACAGCAGCCCGCTGTTGCCATAGGCTGTCGTTACCAAACAGCTATAACCAATACGCTAACTACTACATAGTGCCCTATAGAGTGGTTAGGGCGGACATTCTGACACAGCCTGAGTCACCTACCCTATCAGTAGCTTTCACCACGACGCAACATCATTCAAAAAACCCTTCTCGCTTCGAGGCTCATCTCAGACCAGACCAGCTAAACTGTCCATAAACAGTATTTTTAGCTGCTACAACTCCTGTCTTTCCCATAATCTGGAGGTATTACCACCTATATTAGCACACCAGCTAATATGATCTGTTCGGGGCTGCTGTACCTTAATAAGAAGCAAAGGTTGGGGTTTATCTAACTTTCCAACGTGGGGAGAATCCAAGTTTGGCTTTTCTGTGCAGCTGAAAACACTGCCAGAAACAAAACAAGTCTTTTCTGTAAGCAAGTAAATGTCCTGTAACCTCATTTTAAGGCAGCAAACAGATGAGGAAATGGTAGCTATGCTACTCTATAGGCTCTATGAAGCCAGATCAAACCCTGAAAACCTTCCTGATATTTTAGTACCAAAACCTGCTATTAAGGAAAATGCTGTCATTTTGAAATGAAAGCTTTTTTAGTATCATTTGATTGAAAAACAAAATACATATGTACCAATTAAAGTGCATGGTAGTAAACTGTAAAAGAGGAGAATTAGGTCATCTGATCTGTGCAGAAATGTCATAGTGGTTCCTGAATTTAGGTTATTTTTAAGCTTTTGTAACCTTACAAAGCGAAAATAAGCAAATTTTGACATGGAGGTTGGTTTAAAGCAGAGTTACACGGGGATTTTATTCAAATTTATTCAAAGTGATTAGATTCTGTGGTAAAATAAATAAATCGCCTTTTTGTGCAACCTAACTTAATTTTCAAGAAATGATTATAAATAAACAATAACAGAAGCTATACAATCACAGTTATGATAAAACCAAAGCTTTTAATTTAATGAGTAATTATAGAAATGGTTCAGATTATTATGAACAGCTGTTTACTTTAGATATATTAGTGTTTATATGGACATTGTTTGGTCATTATCATGTTTAAATCTAAAAATCATATCGAGCACATATGAATTGCATTGAGTGCATGACCTTGTTAACCTCGGTGAGGTTTTTGTGGTGAAATAAAGGAGCTGAAAGGAAAACCCCAGCAGTAGGACAGGCGAACATGCTTCTACTGTTGACGCACATTAGCAACAGCTAGCCTGTTGAGTGATTAAGCTCTGTTAGAAGAAATAAACCCGATTCCTGTGTGGCTGAGGGAAAGGATACTTGCTGGACGGATCTCTGCGTGGACGTGTCTGGTGACTGAGACTCCTTTAGCAGCTGTAGTATTTGCTGAAGCCCCTGCTCGTCTGGCTTCCACTCACACTCCATCTTGCTGCTGCCGCGGATAAAGCAACAACATCAGAGCCAACGGCTCTTAAATGAACCACCCCGCCCTCCGTTAAAAGCCCAAACCGTGTTTGACAGAAACGCACCGTTACCTGCTCTGTCCTGGCCGACCTTTTCTCTTGTTGTGTCCTTTCTGTTCAAACGGGAGCGTCTGTCTGGGTTTTCAGACATGGGCCCGTTTCGGCAGACACGTCTGTTCTCACAGCCAGACGAAAAAAGCTTCAGGTCTTCTTCTTCTTCTTATGGGGTTTTATGGCGGTTGGCAGACTTGTGAATTGTGCATTACCGCCACCAACTGATATGGAGTAAAGCAAGAAAACAGAAAACGATTCAGCCCCCCCCCCCCCCCCAAAAAAAAAAAAAAAAAAAAAAAAAAAAAAAAAAAAAAAAAAACCTGTGTAACTTAAACCAACATAATACTAAATCACATTTGCCCATATAATTTTTAATTTACTCTAGGTCATCTTAACTCTGCCAGTTTCTGATGGTCCCATCGGTCCTCCCATCATACTTCCAACCATCTCCCAGTTCAAATCTTTAATGTCCAGATATTTTTCTGCAGCCTTCACTATTATTTTGATTTTTTCCGTTTTTTTTGTTGTCTGTGCAGTACAATTAATTACTTCTACCATGAAAAGAACAAAATTTGTCTTTTTAACAATAAGTGAGTCTTCATCAATTTTTTGATTCTCTAGAGGTTTGGAATTTGCCGTGTGTTGAACTGTAGGTTTGGGTTTTTCTGACTGAGATGGGATCCTTTTTGCAGCTTCAGCGTAGGTTATTCCGAGCTCAAATTTCATTTTTTTAATTTCCTCAGACCTTTTGCTTGCTTCACAGCCGCGATAGGCAGCAGTATGTTCTCCACCACAATTACAGCATTTTATTTTAGCTTCTTTTCCACATTTTCCGTACTCATGTTCTCCTGCACACCTTCCACACCTCTGTTTCCCTTTACAAACTGCTGCAATGTGACCGAATTTTTGGCATTTGAAACATCTCAATGGTGGAGGATTGTAGATTTTGACATTATAGCTTATGTAACCGATGAATACTTTGCTTGGTAATTGCTCTTCCTCAAATTTAATTAGCACTGATAAACTGTCAGATCTTTCTCCGTTTCTTGTTGTTTTTAACCGTTTTACTTCTTTTACTTTTGCACCGCTTATGTTTTCCAGAATCTCTTTTTCAGAAATTTTTAGAGGAACTCCTCCAATGACTCCCCTGCTGATCTTTTTGTTCTCCATTAGGCTGCACTGAACTCTTATCCCGTCAATTTTGTTGATCCGTATTGCTTTGCCTTGCTGGGCGCTGTCTCTGCAGTTAATTAGCAGGTCTCCACTGTACAGAATTCTGGCACCTCTGACTTCTCCGACAAGTTTATTGATGGTTTTTGTTAAGTGAACCGGATTCCAATTTGTAAAAGAGTCTGCCTGATTAACGACTTTGAATATGACTTTGAATTCATTTTGTTGTGCTGTGGAATGTATGGAATGATCATCACTGGATTGTTCTGAACTAGATTCCCCTTGAACTGATCTCTGTTTTTTCCGCTTTTTCTCATTTTTTGATGTTGCTATCTTCCAACCTTCATTGTCACTATTTCCCTCTTCCATCCCACAAGAATCGCTTCCTGTTTCCTCACTACTCACGGCCCAAGACATTTCTCCATAAGCAGCTTCAAAACACGCGCCATGCACCAAACGACCATCCACATGCCAAAGGGGTGTGACTCTTCTTCGACCTATCGGTTAGGTTATGAAATAAAGCTATTTTTAACTTGCTACAAGCAAACCAAACGCATGTTTGGAAAGCATGAGCGTTCAAAGCTTCAGGTCAAACAGCCCTGCGTTGATTATAGCCTCCTGCTTCGGTCAGCTGACAGCTGCGGGGTCCTAGTGCTCATCCGTCAGCCGTATATTTCATATTTATCCATAGCTTTATATTATTATTGTTTTAATAAATTTCAATTCACGTCAACAATTTACAACAAAGACTTTTTCAATGGATATTATTTATATGACAAAGAGCCCCATAAAGGTAAATCGATAAATTCCAGATAGTTCCTGAAGGTATCACAAGCAAGCCCTCTGCCTTTAACTGAACCAGATCTATACGGTATTCGTGACATTACTGCTTCGAATACGAAAATGTATTTACATTTAATATGATATTGATACGTAAAGGTATACGTTTACCATTTTTAAATGTTTCTATTATTCATAGGAAAATGTATAAATAAAAATTAACAGGGGCGGAGCTAGATGTGGGGCCAGGGGTGGCCATGGCCACCCTTAGCCTATCGTTAGCCACCCCCCTGGCCACCCCTACCATTTTCTTCCCTCGAATACAGATGGTAGCAGCAATAATACTGTCAAATGGAGTAGTAAAAACATTAAAAATTTTCAAATATTAACAATTACCTGACAACAAAACCTCTGTGGTTTATTATGAACATCAATATACTAACATTAAAGATGATAAGTAGGCTACAGAGTTAAATCCTCTTTTCAGAACTAGATTTTGTGTTATAATGGGGTGAAGAGAAAATGCAAGTCATCTAGGAATCCAGTTAAATTATACATAAACATTTTAATTAAAACATATTAAGTGATAAATTGATTACTTGATTGACTTTATTGATCTCACAGCGGAGATATTTACTTTATGTAGATATTAGTACTTGTAAATATCAATTTTATGAAGAGTAATTATTAGGAAAAAGAGGTAAGTAATAACAATGGAAAAGATGTTCGCCCCAGAACTCATACCTGAAAGAATTTTATCCACTATACCTTTTATCTAGGAAGTATTGATGTTTATATATGCTTCTATTTGTTAGCAAAGGTTGTAGGAAAGTGTAGTTTGTCTTTATTTTGAAAATATGAATGTTTTGCTCGTTAACTTTCCTATTGAACCGATTGCCCCTTAGGTTCTGGCACCTATTCACTTTCGTCCACTCCTCAGTGTACATTGGTTATTGCCTGGCCAGCCTTATAAAAAATTTCTGGCTACACATCTGTGACAGTAATAACACAGAATGGTTAGAGGGTCTAATGATTTTTAAATTGTCTCATTTTTTTATGGAGTAATGGGAAAACATATTAGGTCATCCTTTTATTCTTCATCCTCTTTATCTAAATGTATATTATTTTAAGAATACAATAAACAACAACAAAAGTAGTAGCTTAGTATTTTCTTACTATAACTGCATAATTACAATTCACGGTGAGGAGTTCAAGAAAAGAATAAAGTTAAGAAGTGGCTGCAATACTAAAATCAGCAGGAATTATATGGATGCTGTTAATTTCTAAGGAGACTGAGGACCAAAGCAGATATAGCAGATAGAACTCAGGAGCCAGGAGGAGAACAAGAGAACCCAACAAAGAGCAAACAGAGAACAGAAACTTGAATACTAATTTGAAGTGACATGGAAAATAGGTGGGTGCAATAATCAGAAATAAACAAAGCAGATCATAACAGATACAAATTCTGAGGGAGGTTATAAAGCGAATAAAATATATGTCTATGAGTAACATTAGGGTGTATGAAAGAGTTTCAGAAAAAAATTATCTCAGATTTGCTAGGATCCCATTTTTTATGTTACTGCTGACCACATGACTCTGAGGAATGTTTTAAATATCTACTGCAATCATATCCTGGATTAAAATAAAACAAACAAACACAAAAACAACACTTTGCATTCAGACAGCGCTTCCAAATCAGTATTTTCATTTTCTTCCAGTAGGTGGCAGCACACGCTAGAAATATGCCTGGTCCGCCTGCTTGAAGTGTCTGCTGAAGAAGTCACATCTATTGCTTCTTGTTTCTCTGCGTCTAGAGCAGCTGTGGCATATCGGGGTGTCCGAAAGACAAAGCTGCTTTCTCTATTGCTTGCTCTCTCCTTTTAAGTCTGCACCAATAGTTATTTGATATTTTCTTTGGTTCCGACTGAAAAGGCCGAGGAAAGAAGAGTGAGATTGAAGAGTTTGGTCCCTCTGGTGTCCATCCTCTCAGCCTGATTTTAAATATCGCCTTTTTTCTGATCTCCGAGGAACCATGAGCTTCCTTTTGTGAGTTATTATTGTTTGTTTGATACTTGTTTTTGTCTTTCTGATTGGGGTTTAGTTGTCGACAAAAAAGGGGACGATATTTCACAGCTGAAAGCTAGCTAGCGATCAAATAAACACGGGATTAGACTACTTCCTGGATCTGCCTTTTAATCGTTTTTTTTTTCTAATTTTGGGTGCGTTCTTTGTATTTTCGTATCTTTAAAATACTCAGATTTCCATTTACTTTATTCAACACAAAAATACATTCAGGATATTATAGAAACGTTGTTATCATCATAATACGAGTTTTAATCAGTTTTTGTCGTGTGGCCTGGTTATTTGCTGGTGCGTATATTGTGCTAACAAGTGCTAACATTAGCTTTGGGTAGATTATAGCACATTCGATCTTATTCTTGTGTAAGGACTGTGTTTATAGATAACTAACCATTTGATTACATGAAAAAGAAAACAAAAACAAAGCTGGCTATGATCACTGGATTTGTACATGAAAGAAAGTGTTAAAGGCAAGCATAAATCAAAAGTATTTTTTTAGGTAAAGTAATTTCTATTATCACATTTCTTAAACAAACATTATACATTTTCTTTTTCTTAAAAACTAATCGAAATAAAAGTTGTCTTGAATTATAAATATAATGGAGCTCTGTTCTTTCAGGTTAAGGTAACCAAAAATCAACTATAAATTAATAAATATATTTATCATTTGTACTCTTTTACCATCCTCTGTTTTTCAAAGATAAGGGTTGAACAATCTTATAATTTTATGGCATTGAAAGATTTCTTCAATAATACATTTTTTTTTTAGATAAAACGCAAACAATGATACACTGTCATGGTTAGTTTTTCTCTATTTTTAATTAATGAAAATCCTTTATTTCTTCTTTTCCATTGACAGCCACACAACCATCTCTTTCATATCTGTGGTTCTAAATTGGCCCTTTTATAAAAAGCCACATTCTCTGTGTTGTTGCAAAGCCTTTAGCTTTGTTTTCACATTAAGAAGGTTGATTTAAGATACATTGAGGATAAAAACCTGTTTACAATCAAAATGAGCTGCTTTCACATAAATGCACTCTGAAGAAGATTATTACAACTATGACTAAATTTGTCTTGAATTGAGTTTACTTTAGTTTTTAGATGTAATTTTTTTTGTTAAAAAACTATTAATTAACCATTTAGTTATTGTTTGTATCAACTCAAAACAAACATAATGAGTTTTTTTTTTCATCTCTGCCCACCCTTAAACCTTTGTATCTTCTTATCTATTATTGTCTAGAGGTCACAGTTCTGCTCAAAGACTAATTGATGTGGTAGTGAGACTCAAAACCTACCATTTGGTTTAAGCACAAAGCCAGGTGATAGGGTGTTGGTTTAAAAGTGGTGTTGAGCTTTTAAAGTACCCCTTCACCATGCGAACCCAAGCAGTCCTTAAACAGTCATCCTGGGAGTAAAAAGCGAGAAACGGTCGTAAACTATTCATGTAGATACTCATTCCCAGTTAAAATATGGCTGAATTGCTCCAACTAAAGATTTTAACATCAGGTGTGTGTGTGTGTGTGTGTGTATAAAAGAGCGACTCTTCTACAGATCCCTCTGATCTAGAACTTGTTGATCAACCAGTCCTCAGATGACACAACCTCTCTCCTTTTTTTCCATTATAGGGAATTATTTTACATTGCTTTGCTTGCATATTAAGTATTTGCTTACACACTGTATAGTGCATATAAAATTAATACCCTGAACTTCCATATCAATGCATTTTTAATTTTTTTGCACCATGTTTTTTTTCTCCCACACTGTTTACATTTGATCACTGCTGCACTTTATAGAATGGAAATGTTCATTTACAGTCTGAAAAACTATATTAAGCGAAATTTCGTTTTTTTATACACTCTTTGTATACAAAATGACTATAAAAATTGTCTAAGTCTAATGTTGATGTAATCTAGTTGAAACAATTGTCATGATAAATAGGTTTTTATGTGTTTAGAGAAACGATTAGAGGTTTTTTTTTTTGTTTGGAAGCCTTCGGTTCATTTTGGATCTGCTTTGGCAAACATTGTAATTAACAGCCCAGCATTTTGTTTTGTTTCTGACCCGTGCTTTGATGCCTGAAAGACTCTTCTTTAATGGGGCAGTGTGAGAATGAACATGGCCTCATTAAGCACAGAGATGTACTGTTCTTTCCCCACCTAGATTTTTTTTTATAGCATCGGCGTCTCCTTTGTCAGTTTAAAAACCCGACATCTTGACTCTGTTGTTGTTTAAGCCGACTTTTTCCCCTCTGTTTCTGTAAAGTCATGATCTCTCATCGAGTTATTCGTGTCTCTGTTTGTCGTCTTCTCCCCAACGTGACCCACAGTGGAAACCGTTCATCTAAAACTTTCAAGCCTAAGAAGAATATCCCAGAGGGTTCTCATCAGTACGAGCTGTTGAAACATGCCGAGGCGACGCTGGGGAGTGGAAACCTGCGCATGGCGGTCATGTTGCCGGAGGGGGAAGACTTGAATGAGTGGGTCGCTGTCAACAGTAAGTCCTGCCTTTTCCCTTCCTCTGACTCATCCTTTTTCTGCTTCAAAGGGCTTTATCTCAACACCTGTTATTCGGTTGTTTTATTTAAAACATTTTTACTCTTGGCTTTGAAATGTCAGTGTCTAGGTCATGAATCAGAGAGTGGGCTTTCAGGATGTCAGATCTTGGCTGTCCCTCTAAAGACTGTGGGCTTTTTCATGCCAGACAGACTGCTGTGAATGTTAAATAGACTTTATTGACCGTTTGGTGAGAGCCTTGTTTACTTTCCACTAAGCAGCAGAAAATGGCCGTTTAAAGGTAAATTCCTCCCTCTGTGCACTTTTTTTTTTTTTGAGCAAGACAACATGCAGGCAAATGGTTAGTTCCAAGACTTTTTTCACCGTACTGTTATCCTGATATGTAGTTTTTATTAGAGTTTGTTGCACAAGCTCTCCTGACTTTCACAATGAAGGGAAGTTGCTATAGATGTGCTGCTAGCGGTCACTCCTCTTGTCATCACAGCTAACGGACTTTTCACATGATTGTTGCTCATGAGAAGCTGCAGTTTTATTATATATGTTGTTTCTTTTTATATAGAGTATAATCGTTCCAGATTTGCCTTTTTTGTTTGAATACTGATCATTAGAGTACCTCACTGAAATGTTTGACACACTAGGAACGGCAACTTTTAAATAAGAGCAAACTTTTTTTTTAAACTAAAGAATTAAAGCACCAACTTGTAAAGTTTTGGTTCTATTGAAACAGCAAAACTTATTTTTTACTCCTTGCTGCACCAATGTCATCTTACTTTTTGTCATTTTTAGCCCACTCCTATTTTGTTCTTTTACCCATATTGGGAGGCGACATTTTTATCTCCCAATAAAATGCAAACTACCACATTAACCTTTTGAGGCACTGCGCATAGACATGGTAACAGTGCTGCATTTTATTGGGGGGGAAAAAACCCGGACCAGTTCTGCTCGACAGACCAGCTGTCTGGAGAATCCTTCTGAACCTGGACACTCCACCCTGCCTTCAAAATGATCAGAGCAGATTCTAGATGTTTCCAAAGGCCGGTCTCTGTTGGTGAAGTTTCCAAGCTGTACGGTTCATGCTGACATTTAGCGTTCAACTCCAACCGAGTTTGATTATTTTCCTGGATTGTTGGTTAGCAGCGGGAGCATCTTCTTGCTGTTGAACATCCTTGAATGAACCCAACAGGAAGCAACCATTGTAACAGCAATGTGTCAAGATTAGCGCGAAAGGCTACGTTCACACTGCAGGCCTTGATGCTCAATTCCGATTCTTTTGTGAAATCCGCTTTTTTTGCGTTGCCGTTCACATATCTAAATATATGCGACTTGTATGTGATCACCTGTGTGAACTACAGTCATACAACGCAAGTGTCCCGCATGTGCAGTAGAGGACGCAGTAACATCACAGGCCAGCGTGCTCTATGTTTACGGAAGTAAACATGGATGGTAGTGCCGGAGCGCATCTAGCGATCTCTCCCAACCATAAATACACAATCTTTTCAAGATGGTTAAACATAAATACTGCTCTCCGCATCATCACCCGCCATGGTTGTTGTTTTTCTTGCTGCTTCTTCATAGCAAGACCCAGAATAGTGACCTTTGTCGGGTATTAATGGCGTTCAGGTCGGATGAATGTGACCTGACCGTTCAGACACAAAGATATGATTGGTATCGGATTCAGGACCACATAGCCAAAAGGCCTGGATCGCATTGGAAAAACGGATCTGTGTCGTTCAGACTGCCATGAAGAGATTCAGATTCAGGTCGCATATGGGCCAGAAAATCGGATTTGGGTCACTTCAGGCTGCTGTGTGAACGTAATGTTGTGCCACATGTGATTTCAGAGGTAACCTTGCACTGCAAGCTGGATTGTCTTGAGATCTAAGTTTTCAGTCTCACAACAAATCCATCTTGAGACACTCCCGCTAATACATTTGTCTCATAACAACCAGCGAGTCGGCCCAGTGACATGCCAGCAATGTTTTTTAGGGGCGGGACATGTAGGAATGACGACACTCAGAAGGGCCTTGCTGCAGCATTACAATCATAGCTACGCTGGAGGATTCAGCTGTCGATACTGCAATTGACCGGTTTTAGCTAGAATTGCAACAATTTCTCGTTTAAAAAAAAGGAGCAAAGAGAAGCACTTTGTGAATTTGTAGATTGGAAAGATGGCTGTGCTTTCAAGTCCACTCTGCTAGTTGTGAAAACACTCAAGAAGCTGCAGACGAATCCTGTCTGAAACGTCACAGTTTGCTGCTAGGATTGGCTGCAAGCGTATTATTGAAGGCGGGTACTAGCTGGCACATCACCAGTCAGCTTGAAGTATTGTACTAAATATCCCTCCTTTTCATGGACAGACTGAATGGCAGCCATCCTGGATTCATTACATAGAACTCAGCTCAGTTCTACACATATCAATCTGGATACTTCCAGGTTATTGCAAAGGGTCAGTAAGATATAAAGAAATGGGGACACCTGAAAATAGATCCCAGATGCTAAGCTGACGTTGATTGGTGCAGAAATTATGTTGATGGAAAATAAAGAGCTGTGATGGAGATCATAATAAATAGCAATGTTGAAATTGTCAACACCAGCGTGTCGTTTAGTCTGCTGTTGTGCAGCACTGTTTGTAACCATAAGTCCATCTGCTGTGATGAATAATATTTCCTTTTTAATTCTTATCTTTATAAACACACATGACAATACGTTGACTATAGCAACAAATTCAGCTGGTAAATGTGATTTGGCTCAATCTTTGTGTTTTGGAGAACTGCAGCAGTTGGCAGCCAGAGCAAAGCTGGAATATGATGATAAATAATGACCTAAGCTCTTAGGAAGAATTTATGGTTGAAATAATTCAACCTTCTTTAGAAAATGTCTTTAAAAGAACCAAACTGGGTAAAATGGTTGATTAAGCAAAATGAAACGGCAAACAAGTTATTTTACCTTAATGTTTTTAAAAAAAAAACTTTTCTTAAAATTTAAGGAGATTTGCTTGGATGATTCACTTTCCTGCACGATAATTCGAGGCTTAAATCTTGAATCATGTATCAGATTTAAACCTTTTTTGTGTTCATAAATGGCTGCAGTCTGTGCTAAAGATGCCCTGATCGGATATTAATATCTGTACGGATCTGATCCATCGGGACTGATGCATTCAGTCATTTTCTCTAATAAAATTCAAAAGGTAAAGAATCACTTGATTTGCAGAAAAGTTTCTTTGATTTTATCAATACAGTCATTTTGAACCCTTAGAGTTGCATATTTGTTTTTCATGGTTGAAAATGTCCTTTCAAAAACAGTTTTCATTTTTATTTTAGGTTTCCTTTTGGGATAAACATGTACATTTATATATCATACTTGTTTTTTAAGGGGGGATCTATGACTGCTTCTTTAAAAATACAACAGTGATGATGATAACAGAAACAAGCGGCTCTGTGTCGGAACAGTATCAGGATGTGCAGATATCCAAATTCAAGAAACAGAAGTGAAAAAATGTGGATCGGTGCATCCCTAGTGTTTGTTGATTCCCTATGTGAGCGGAGAGAGACTTGCTTTGATTCTCAGCCCTTTTTCTTTTCACAGCGGTGGATTTCTTCAACCAGATCAACATGCTGTATGGAACCATCACAGACTTCTGCACAGAGGAAAGCTGCCCAGTCATGTCTGCCGGTCCAAAGTAAGCACACCAATCACATCCACTGCTTTCTAATAATCATCTGGATTTCCCTTTTCTTCAAACTGCATCACTTCCAACACGGTACATCCTTTGTGCTCCTGTTTAACAGATGAATCCAATACATTTCTTCATTTTTTTGATATGAATAAAAGTAAAGAGAAAACTTTTTTTTTCCTCCATTGCTTCTATACTTTTCCATATACAGAATAATATCCTGGCCGTGGGTGTGCCTTGGTGGCGCAGTGGTTAGCGCTCACAACCCATGTATGGAGGCCTTAGTCCTCGACCCGGGTGACCCGGGTTTGAATCCGGCCTGTGTCTCTCCACCTCTCTCATACCCCCTTTCCTGTCAGCCTACCATCCATAAAAAAAGCCACTAGTGCCATAAAAAAACAAAAAAAAATTATGATAAAATCCTGACCTTTAACCCCTTGATGCCTAGTGTCGCAAATATGCAACAAACTGTTTTTAATCATGCAAACAATTGCATGCGCATTCAAATGCAGGTTAATCCACATTTGGGAACCATTGCCAAGGATTTGTTTATGGTTAAACTGGTCCCTGGCCGTGTGTGTTATTCCTTTTCCTTATGTTTTGTGCAGTTTTCAGATTAACAGTCTCTATTTGACTTAAAGGCAAAAATAAATGTGGACATTTGGGATTTACTGTTTGTCTGGAAAATATGAGCAAGTGTAAATGTAACCAAAATTGGCTCCAGCCAAGAGTTTTCTCCATGGCTAAAACCAGTGAACATATATGAGGCTCAGTGGATTTTGTGCAAGAAGTCATTTAACCTTGGAACGATGGGAATTAAGGCAGTGGAGTCGCACATGCGAAGTGCGAAACACAAAGTGTCAAAATCGAGTTACCGAGAAACAGCCGGTATTTCTCAGTTTTGTTCCACCCTTGTCTCTGCACCGCCTCCACTTATCACCAAATCAAACATACTAAGAAAATTATACAAAGAAAAATGGCTGCAAAAAAGACTTAGCACTGGTTATGTTGTGGCTTTAAAACAGATTTGTTTTGTTCCCTGCTAAAACAAAGTTTGTGAATTCAGTTAAATAATTGTTAAAATATATGTCATTTGTGTGTTTTTGGCTTTCTTCCTGTATGGGAGGCTTTTTAAAATTTGAAACATTAGTGCAGTTGTTTATGTTAAAATAAACCTTTGGGTAAAGTTGTCGCAAGCAGGTTTTTCTTGTGTTTCTTGTGAATTTGGTCTTAATTTTTATTTCAAGTGGCATTAAAAAGTCTTGAAAAGTCTTGAATTTAACTTGCCTGATGCCGAAGGAACCCTGAAAAGGCTAACTGATGAGGATTTAAACCTGCAGCCACCAACAGAGTGCAGGTTTCAGCTAAACAATGGATGGTACAGGCTTTAAAATGCTTTAACTACATTAGTAGTAGTATCTGCTTCTAGTAGGGGGGGGTTATATATAATGTTATGTCCAAAAACAACCAAAAAGACACTGATAAGTAATTTGGAGGATTAATAATGATGCTGACTTATTACAATGGTCATCAGCCAATCTGAGAGACCTAACAACTCATCCTGCTGCCTCGCCAGCTGATGTTCACCAGGCGTTCTGCACTGTGATGACAATTTTACATTAACTTCCGCCAGGTCTGCTAAGAATTAACATCTGATGGCTATCCAGGTCTTTCTTTCCTCTTTATGTTTGCTCACACGAGTTTATTCTGAGAATGAAACATAAGTTTTTGCTGTGCTTTATCGTAGGTATGAGTACCATTGGGCAGATGGAACCAACATCAAGAAACCCATTAAATGCTCAGCTCCAAAGTATATTGATTACCTCATGACGTGGGTGCAGGACCAGCTCGATGATGAGACGCTTTTCCCTTCAAAGATCGGTAGGATTTGCTCCTTGGTTCCTTCCTTTCTCTGTAACGGTTTATTCTACAGGCTGCTTTCATGTCGCTGCTGGAAAATAAAGTTCTGTGAAAGAGAAAATAGTTTTTTTTCCACTTAATAAACTGATGCTGCAGCTAATAAAATGGAAATCCTGAACCTATAAAGTAAACATGACCCATCTTATTTATGATGCCTTCATGTTTACAGTGAAACTCATTAAGTTCCCTATTCTCTTTTGCACATGGAGGCAGTTCCATGTTACACTGTTTATTTTAGCATTGGTACATTTCATGCTTCTGCATGAGGGACTTCATAAAGGTTCATGTTCTGTAATTTGTGGCTGAAACATCCAGTCGTGTCTGAGCCCCTACCAGCTGAGGCCTGTGTTGTTAAGGGTGGGGTTATTTTTTTAAAGATGCTGGCGCCCAGCCGAAATGCCAGCTGTAGTGTCCATCTGAGGGGAAGAGCTAAACACTCTCTCCCTCAGGCAACAGATTTTGGATCCGTTTTCTTATCCATGGAGCAGGAATGACGTCCACACCCTCCTCTGGGTGTGTGGTATTCTGGAGCATCCTGTGTGCAAAGCATAATGCATCAAACATTTAATTAGCTGTGCCGCTTAGCTTTAAAGGTGTATGATTGTTGATGAATTAATAAATGTAAAGCCCAGTTTAGCTGTAAGCAGCAGTGTAACTGTTCTTATTTTAGTGGGTTTGTTAAATAATTGATCCGTAGAGACTCTTTGTGTGCATTTGTGCTCAGTTTTGCCCAACGTGTCTCTGATCTACATCGCAGTAGAATAGAAGAGGTCTGTCTGAACATGAAGGTGTTTTCCATCCTGGAGATGAATGCTTAACATGTTGCTGTCATGATTGTTCACACTTTCCCCCGATCATGCCGCAGCCTGCCAGCGAACACTTTTGCAATCCTGGGGAACATGCTGTCTCGATCTTGTTCCTTCTTGCTTTTCCTGTGAGCTGGGCTAAACGGATACCTAGGCTTCATAACCATACCAACTCTTAGGGTTTTAAATCTAATGGGCGCCTTGCAAAATAGTTGCTACTCTGCAAGTTTCCTAATTTGACCTCAAGGCAAATATGAAATATCGATCGGGGTGATGTGACTGTGAAGTGTAGAAGAAACAGCCTCTGAAGGTGAAGGCTAAACACTCTGTCCAGAGTTCTGACTTCAGAGCCATGCAAGTTCTGTATAAAGTATTTCTCCTTATAGACCTAAATGATCTGTCTTTTATTTCCAAGGCGTTCCCTTTAAGCGCAACTTCATGTCCGTGGCGAAGACCATTCTGAAACGCCTGTTCAGGGTCTATGCTCACATCTACCACCAGCACTTTGACTCCGTCATGCAGCTGCAAGAGGAGGCCCACCTCAACACATCCTTCAAACACTTCATCTTTTTCGTTCAGGTAAAGAGTCTCGGATATTTTAAGGAATGAGTCAAATATCTGCCCGTATGGATTAAAAGCCTTTCCTGACTTTTCTGCTTTTGTCTTTTTTTTTCTCTCTGTGTTTTTAAGGAGTTCAACCTCATTGACAGAAAAGAGCTGGCTCCACTCCAGGAGCTGATTGAGAAGCTGACCACTAAGGATAGATAAACACCAATGCAAACTTGTATTTTATTGTTCTAGTTTTTGCACAGATACCCAACCCCACCCTGGCTATATGTATGCAGTATAAACTACGTGGATTTCCAAGGGGGAAATGTTTTTAATATTGCCAGGAAGCAGACTGGGTTTTTTTTTGTTGATAGGTTTAAGGCACCAGGACTAATTTTATCAGGGATTACAGATTTAATTAACAGAGAAAAAAAACATTTAGGTGTATGGAGAATAATCCCTTGTATCAACACACAATGATTTAGGATTATAGAGACATATATTGTATGTTCCTTCATTTTCTCTTTTTCTTTTCTCCGATGGTTCGACACACTCATAAGGGAGAGGGACAGTATAGATTTTATGGGGAAGATTTGAGCCAGCTTTGAAGCTTATTCAATAGTTTTACTCTTATCATTTCATTCTCAATTAAAAGGTCAGACTTTAGTTGAGTCTTGTTGCCATCAGTACAGAAGAACCCTAAGTGCCTAGCACGGCTCGTTGTCGCCCTATATCAACAGTGAGAACTGTAAAAAGATTTAAGGCCATATTTGATCAGCTTAGTTAAAATTTTCCACCTACCTCCCTTTAAACCCAAATAGCCCTGACTTCTCCCTCCTGTCCCATATCTTGTTTTGGAAAGTCTCCCTGCTGTGTGCTCTTGAGAGGGTGATGATTAAATGAATGTGTTAAAGGATATAGAAGTGAGATTAGAGCTGTTTTTTTGTCATTTTAGAGCAGGGACTAATAATAAGCTTTTAGGATTGTCTAGTGACAAGTCCCTGTGTGCTAGTTTACCCACCTGAAACCTTTATGTAGAAACATTTCGCGACGGATCCAAAACCTTAAACTGTACATACATACCTGCTGATAGATACAGATAAATATTTAACCTCCACCGTTTTTGAGAACTGTAAGCATTTTGAGTCAGATGACACCACATACTGTACCTTGGTATCTGGATAGCCATGAAGCACTTTGAACAAGTTTTCTAACCACTCTTGCCTGAATGTTTTTCTCTGCAATATGTTGAATTTTGTGAGAAGCACACACAGTACTGTTATAGCTTCAGGTTTTTCAGATCTATGATTAATTATTTCTGAGATAAAACTATTACTGTCTTAAAACATTTTAGGGTTTACTTTCAGCAGCCATTTTTTAAGTTGGTATATAAAGCCCTGCCGCGTCCTGATCTGTTGGTGTAGACTTTTGGTTGGGCCGTTCCAACATTTTAGGTCGTCCTTTTGTTGATTTGAACTCACTGGAATGCTAAAAAGAACCCAGACGGCTTTCTGTGAGAGTCTTGAACGAAAAGGACTGTTGTTTCATGCAGGCACCCAGAAACCAAAGGTGTTTCTGAAGAAAGGTAACCACAAAGCATGATGCTGCCACCAACGTGTTTCACAATAGAAATGGTTTTCTTTAGAGTATGTTTCCCTGTGAAACATACCGTTCGAGCCAGTTTCCAGAGAAAACCTGTCCAGTTTCTTTCTTCTTTTTTTTTTATCCATACATCTAGTCCAGACATGTGAATTATAGAGGAGGTTTTTCCTCCGTTATTCCCTCTGTTACAGCCTATTTTATTCCATCTGGAAAAATGCCACTTTAGTCTCACATTTTATCCAGGTAATAAATGTCTCATTAACTATAGAAACCTCTGGAAATGTTTATCAGGGTCTAAGTCTTAAAAACCTGAATTCTTAACAGTATTGTGTAGTTTTGATTTTTCCTGCTGTATCTCCTTCCTCATATTTTACCAAATGAATGTTAAACGGATCGATTTCCTCTGAGGTTAGCTGTAGGGCACAACTAAGGTTTCCTTATGCTTACAGGTGCTGGTCATAAAATTAGAATATCATGAAAAAGTAGATTGATTTCAGTAATTCCATTTAAAAAGTGAAACTTGTATATTATATTCATACATTACATACAAACTCATATATTTCAGATGTTTATTTTGTTTAATTTTGATGATTACAAATGACAACAAATGAAAATCTCAAATTCATCATATCGGAAAATTAGAATATTGTGAAAAGGTTCAAAATTGATGGCCCCTGGTGCCACACTCTAATCAGCTAATTAACTCAAACCACCTGCAAAAGCCTTTAAATGGTCTTTCAGTCTAGTTCTATAGGCTACACAATCATGGGGAAGACTGCTGACTTGACAGTTGTCCAAAAGACGACCATCGACACCTTGCACAAGGAGGGCAAGACACAAAAGGTCATCGCTAAAGAGGCTGGCTGTTCACAGAGCTCAGTGTCCAAGCACATTAATAGAGAGGCGAAGGGAAGGAAAAGATGTGGTCGAAAAAAGTGTACAAGCAAGAGAGATAACCGCACCCTGGAGAGGATTGTGAAACAAAACCCCTTCAAAAATGTGGGGGAGATTCACAAAGAGTGGACTGCAGCTGGAGTGAGTGCTTCAAGAACCACCACACACAGACGTATGAAAGACATGGGTTTCTGCTGTCGCATTCCTTGTGTCAAGCCACTCTTGAACCACAGACAGCGTCAGAAGCGTCTTGCCTGGGCTAAAGAGAAACAGGACTGGACTGCTGGTGAGTGGTCCAAAGTCATGTTCTCTGATGAAAGTAAATTTTGCATTTCCTTTGGAAATCAAGGTCCCAGAGTCTGGAGGAAAAGAAGAGAGGCACTTCATCCACGTTGCTTGAAGTCCAGTGTAAAGTTTCCACAGTCAGTGATGGTTTGGGGTGCCATGTCATCTGCTGGTGTTGGTCCATTGTGTTTTCTGAGGTCCAGGGTCAACGCAGCCACATACCAGGAAGTTTTAGAGCACTTCATGCTTCCTGCAGCTGACCAACTTTTTGGAGATGCAGATTTCATTTTCCAACAGGACTTGGCACCTGCACACAGTGCCAAAGCTACCAGTACCTGGTTGAAGGACCATGGTATCCCTGTTCTTAATTGGCCAGCAAACTCTCCTGACCTTAACCCCATAGAAAATCTATGGGGTATTGTGAAGAAGAAGATGCAATACACCAGACCCAACAATTCAGAAGAGCTAAAAGCCACTATTAGAGCAACCTGGGCTATCATAACACCTGAGCAGTGCCACAGACTGATCGACTCCATGCCACGCCGCATTGCTGCAGTAATACAGGCCAAAGGAGGCCCAACTAAATACTGAGTGCTGTACATGCTCATACTTTTCATGTTCATACTTTTCAGTTGGCCAACATTTCTATAAATCCTTTGTTTTTATTGGTCTTCAGTAATATTCTAATTTTCTGATATGATGAATTTGAGATTTTCATTTGTTGTCATTTGTAATCATCAAAATTAAACAAAATAAACATCTGAAATATATGAGTTTGTATGTAATGTATGAATATAATATACAAGTTTCACTTTTTAAATGGAATTACTGAAATCAATCTATTTTTTCATGATATTCTAATTTTATGACCAGCACCTGTATGTGTAATTTTTTTTCTTCCTATTCTTTAAATTATAATACTTTTGTGCTTTCTCTAGCCGAAGCATGCTCCCTCTCCTAATGTCAAAGTTTAGTTGCTATGCAATGACTGAAAACAACACTAAAAGGATTACCAGTTGGCGCTTTCGTATTCTGAATCTTATACAAACTTTCTTAATAGTGCTTGAATTTGGGTCAGACAGAAATGGAAACCCCTCTCTGTCTGATTTAGTTTAAAAAAAAAGGCATTTGAACGTTTTATAACAGTAATTTCTTGGAAGTAAAAATGATGCACACTTGTAAATATTGAGGGTTGACTGATTTCTAAGTGAGCATGAAGTGGTGGATTTTTGTTAAATTAATACATCGAGTCTTTTTAGAGGCTGCTTCGTCTCCTTTATTCAGTTATTGGAAAACTCATGTTTTACATGTTTAAGATGTTTGTTTCACTTTCTTATCTAATTAATATGAATGTTACTGGTCAGCAAATACTCTAACGTGTAATAGAATAACCGGTCATCCTCATGAAATGCCCATAACAAAACCTCCAGCCTCCATTTGATCCTCTTTACTTTATCAATTGATGAGATGTTTGTAAATAATGGCTTGATATGGATTTTCAGTGCTACTGAATTGGTTATGCTGTTTACAAGGCAAATAAAGGTGGTCTTGACTCGCCGAATCTTGTATTTTTACTGTGTACCCTGAGTTTAGCCAGACTAGATTGGAACAGAGATGCTGTTACTTCATCACACATGGACTAATGAAATCCATTAAAAGCTTATGAATGCCACTTTATTAATTAGAATACATGGTGTAATATCTTAGATGGCAAAAATGCAAGACAGTGTTATCCATGCAACGCTTAGTTCTGTATGAAAATGGATAAGTTTGATATAAGAATGAAATTATTAATGAAACATTCAAATTTTCCACATTTGTCATGTTACAGCTAAAATTGATGCTTTTGGATCAAAATGAAATGGCAACACGAAACACGTAATGGTCAAGTTTACAGAATTATTATTTTAGGGCTGAAATGGTTCTTCGGATTAATTGGGATTATTAGATTTATGATGATCTTTAATTTAGTAAGTGATTAATCATAACTGGAGTACAGATACTTTAAAAAAATATGTTTATCTTACAGAGCAACTCACTCAAAGCAGTAATTACACCAAAATGTTTTTTTAAAAACGCAACAAAAAACCCTTTACATTTATGTTTAAAAAGTTTTTTTGTCCTTTAAAATGCTCTTACCATAACTTCTGAAGTGGAATAAGTTAAGTTTCCCCTGGTTTAAATTCTGTAAACCGGAGAAACTTAACCCAATGGTATTTTATTCAAAATGAGAAAAAATTACTTTTGCACCTAAAATCCAGCCCATACTGATTTTTTTAAAGTCACAGCTGCACATTTGTGCAATTATTTATATTAAGTTTAAACTAAATATAGGGAGAATATATTGATTAATGATAGGATTTTGTCTGCACTTCATTTAAGTATATTAAGTCACAATTCTTTTTTTTTTAAACAGGTGTCTTTTGATTTTTTTTTTAGTTCATAATTATGCACTACTTTTTTGTATAATTGTTGAGTTGTGATAAAGCCAAATAAAAAAAATATCTGGCCACAGGTTTGCATTCATATGGGGTGGGGAGGTGAAGCAGAAGTTGGAGTGAGTTGTAGGAAATATTTGGTTCAGAGAAACAAGTTAATTAGGAAACTTAGGAATATAAAAACTAAACTTGACAGTGTTGATTTACTGCAAAAGGAGTCAGGAAGCAGAGGATATTAGGCTATATTTGAGTTTTTGAAACAGATTAAATGTATAACAGAATATATATATATATATATATATATATATATATATATATATATATATATATATATATATATATTTTTTTTTTTTTTATGCCATGCGGTCCACACTCCTTACCAGTTGGTGGCGGTAATGCTCACCTAACGTTTTTGCAAACCGCCATAAAAATTTCAACAAGAAGAAGAAGTAGCGGATGTAGGAGGGTGAACAGCTGCTTCCGGGGGTCTGAATGACACGCCCACCACTTCCGGTCTCTCACCGCCAAAATTGAAACAACAACGAGTCTCCATCAGCTGCAGCTGTACCCGCAGTGCTCTCCTTCATTTTTGGCCTATTTTAGGTGCAAATACTAAATCTCTAAAGATGCCTTCCATACCGAAGAGACCCTGCCCCGACGCCATGAATGACTCCATGGAGAAAAGAATAACGCGCATTTCTATCGAAGGAAACATTGGTAAGTGCAGCTGTCAAAGAATAATAAGAATAAAATAAAGTCTTAGACAACATGACTTACCATTTTTATTAGTGCATATTAAAGTATTGTGGCAGGTGGTTATAATTAGTTTCTATGTTTTTCGGGCGGTCGTGTTACTTTGGATCTAACGATGTTTTGCCGCCAAATTATAGTCATGCCCGCTTAAATTCACTTCTTGCTTTATATATAAGGCCGATTGCACAATTTTGTGTCGTAGTTTATAATTATATTATATTGTATGACCGTAACTGAATTGAAAAAAAATATTATTTTGGTGCGCAGCGGCGGGGAAGTCTACTTTTGTGCGCCTTTTGGAGCAGGAGAGCAATGACTGGGAGGTAGTACCAGAACCGATCGCTAGATGGTGCAACGTCCAAACATCAACCAGCGACTTTGAGGTATGTCTTCACTATAGAAGACCAATCCTGCCAGTAATACAGTAATAAATAAATGCTTAAAAAATGAGTATACAATTAATTGACCCCCAAAATACAATAAACAAATAAATGTAGGTTAAATTATGC